AATAACAAAAAGCGCGGGCGGTTAGTTCAGTGGTAGAATAAGTGCCTTCCAAGCACTAGGCACGGGTTCGATTCCCGTACCGCTCATATTTTTGCTATTTTGGCATATAAATTTTTTTGAAAGTTCATTTATTGTTACAAGAGTCATTGTATTACTTTAGTTCTTTTTTTTTTGTACCAATTTTTAAATAATATATTATATAACATATGCTGTTTAAGTATATGGATAGATCTGTACATCAATGACTCGACCAATATCAAACCTGTGGAGCTCTTGCACACCGATGGTAGGGTCTAGCCTGTATACTGTTGAGACAATATTCGATTAATATTATATTATATAACACAATATGATGTCTATTGAAATTGTGGATAAATAATTAACTATAATATTATAATAATTAATATATATAGTATATATAAATAAGTTGTATTAATAAATAAGTATAAATATATAAATAATAATCAATCCGACTATTGCAAAATATCTTTTAAATTGATGTCACCAGAACCTCTTTCTAAAGGTTTTGGTTGATTTGAACTTTCTTTCCAACCAATCATAAACATTAATCTAAAAGTTAAAGGTAAATAAGTTTTACCACTTACATCATCATATTCACCATGAAATTTTTCATAAATTGCCTGTGCACTTAATAAAACTTCTTTACTTAAAATATCATTTGAAATTTTATTTGCACTATTTTCACCCATTAATTGTAAATCCTCCATTATTGTGAAAATATTTGGATAATTAATAATAATTTCCTCCACATCAATTGTAACCATATTAAATTTTGCTTGTTTTAATAGATTTGTCATATCATCAACTTTAATCATTGGTGATATACGACCCATTGATATACCATTCTTACGTTCTAATTCAGCTAATTGTAATGAAGTTCTTAATTCAAATATAGAATCTTCACAAATCATACTTGCAAGGAAAAGACCATCAGGTTTTAACAAATTATTAATTTTCACTAAAGTTTGTGGTAATTCATTAATCCAATGTAATGATAAATTTGATATTACAGCATCAAATTCATTCTTCTTCAAAAGTGGATGATTTAATTTTTCCTCATCAACAACAATTTTATTTACTTTCAATTCTCTATTATAATCTTCATCATCCCATCTATGCAGCATTTTGTCACTTCCATCAACCATTAAAATTTCATCAATTTTATCTCGTACAAGTTGTCTATCTTGTTCTAATGATGCATCTTCAGCTTTATCACATAATGCCAATTCGAAATTCCCGGAATGACAACCAAGATCTAGTACTTTGGGCATTCTCCTCTTGATGAATGCCAATCTCTCAATTGTTTTCAAAGCAGCTTGATCTCTTAAATATTCGACATTTTCAGATTTGGATAATTGTGCCATATGATCTCTTTGGGTTAGTTTGACAGATCTATTGAACACTTCATATGGTTTACTAGCATAGAATCTCCGGGGAACAATTGGTCCTGGTAATTTGACCAATGTATTCCTGATCAATTGACTCATTTCTTGATATCTATTTCCTTTATCCAATCTCTTCTGACTCCTTGTGGTGATGGTGCTCTTTCAAAAGTGGTGAAGTTGTTTAAATTTATTCCCGATGAAAAAAAAAATACAAAAGCTCTAAAAATCATTTTGTATGGGGAATCTATCAAACAATAAAAACATCACCAGAATTAGCCGCCAACAAAACTAGGAATGCTGCTTCTCAATTCAATACGGCAGGCGCTCAGACTAGGAAATAGACTGCCAGCTAGCCTACCAGTGGTTGTGCCCAAGAGAAACGCACTCAGAAACAAGCTACGGCCCATCCCACAGGAACAAGATGAAGGTAAACATGAGATCCAGGTCAAAGCAGGTCCTTTGTACGACTTGGTCAGACCCAGTTCAGTCAACAGGTTCCCAAGAGACAGTGCTGGTAATGTGTTGCTAGGGATTAAAGCAGTTCATGATTCAAATGCTTACAAGAGAGATTTCAGAATAACTGAATATTTCTATAAACTTCAAAGGAAATTGGAAAATTACAGACCGTTGTATTCAAGAGATTATTTCCATTTGAAAGATTTTTTGGAGAATGTTAATGTTCAATTGGGTCCTGGGGGTCATGAATTATTGCTCAACTTGATGGTTTATATTGTGGAAAATAACCCAAATCATATCATTGATAAGGCAATATTAATTGAATTGTCCAAAGCTTTCATATCCAAAGATTTGAAACTAGAGTTTAGACTATTGGTCAATTATAAATTAGTATTGGAGATGCTAGAATCAAGGCGTTATTTTGACAAGTTAAACCCAAAGGATATTTTACAAATTGTTTATAAACCATTCATAACACCAATGAAAAAATCAAATTATTTAACAAGGGTTCAAACTATAGAAAATGCTTTAAAATTCATTGATATGAATTCAATGGAGAATTATCAACATGAAAAATATCTCAAGACATTGAAACAAGATCTTGTGGATACATTAACCATGTCTATAGAGACCATGGATCTTGAAAAAATTGATTCATTTTGGGAGATCTTAACAACAAATTATACTAAAATTTCACCTGAAGAGTTCCATAATTTGTTTAATGCTTCATTACAATCTTCAGAATATGAAATGATTTTAAGATTATTATCAACTGGGAAGTTTGCCTCAATGGCTCAAGGAATTTCTCAATTGCAAAAAATTCAGTTGGCAAGATTATATGCTTCAAAAGGTGATATTGATGGTTTTTTCAAAGTGTTCAAATATGATAAAACTAGTAATACCCCATTGGAAAAATCACAAATTGTGGAAGTTTTCTATAATTGTGATTTACCAATCCATGATATTTTCAAATTGGTAAATTATTTATCCAATAAAGAAGAAAATTTGGTGACTCGTGATTATGAATTTTTAGTTAAATGGATAAAAGAACCATTAATCAACTTACCCAAATTACAAGTATTAGATGTTATCGAATCATTTGATTTTTCAATCATTGAAAATTCGGAATTGAATGATAACGTCAAGACATTATACATGAATTTATACCTCAAGGCTATAACTAAATTAACAAATTCATCAGGTGTTATAGATGCTTATTGTCAATTACCATTAGCTTTAGCAAACTTAGAAACTTTCCAAATAATTTTAAACTCATTCTCTGCAAATCCAATGAATCATCCAGAAACTTCAAGTGAAATTTTCAGATTTGCTCATAATTATTGTAAATTACAATTCACATCAAAAGAATATGCAATATTAATTAATAATTGTTTTAATTTGAAAAGAGATGATTTTGATTTAAAACAATTGGTTTATTATTTATATAATTATTTTACAAAACTTAAAACCACAACTTTAGATAACAAGATTTATGAATTAATCCATATAGAATCAATAGATAGTGATGTGAGAGATTTAAAAGATAATTCATTAAGAAGATCAAGATATACAAAATATGAAGAAATTGCCAAAATTTTATTAGCTCATGATAAAGAAATTCTAATGGATCCAATTGATTTATTAGATTCATTAAGATCAAAAGATGTGATTAATTCAATGCATTTTAATGATTTTGATCCTAAAAAAATGAGTATAGATGAATATTTTGAATATTATTATGATCCTATTGATAAAAAACATCAAAACCCTTACGATTCCAGAGACTCAAATCAATTAAGGAAAAGACATGATTTATATTACAATTCTGTTGAAGAATGATCTACAGAAAGAAACTGTATCAATATTTACAAAAATATTTGATAGAACAATTAAATGAGCATTATTATATTAAATTATAAGTATTTCATCCACTTTATGTAATTTATGATCTTTACTCCAATCAGTATCAACTATAATTTTTAATGAAGTTTCAATCTTAGTTTTCAATGGATCATCCATTGAAGTTAACAACTTTTCATTATAATAATTAAATAATTCCTCACTAGCTAACACACGAGCTCTTGCAATTGGATGATTCACAGTTAACCAACATAATCTTTTTAAAGACTCTTCAAGTCCCATAAGTGATAATTGACCAAATATTTTGATTGATGTACTTAATCTAGTAATACTATTAGTATTTAAATGTAAATTATAAATACGGACATAAAGACCTTTCAATGGAAAAATTTCTGGTATTGAGATATTTGCTTCTAAGATTCTTGACCAAAATTGTAATCCAACAAGAATTGTCTTGTTTAATCTTTGAGATTTGGAGCTAGTACCTTTTAACTTTTCGGGTTCTAATTTAATAACTGATGCTAACTGTAATAATACTTCTTTTTGATCTAGATCATTTAATGAAGAATAAAACTTTAAGAATGTTTTTAAAGTGGAAACAATTAATGAATCTGTTGCCTTCAATGCACCACAACTAAATATATAACCTCTCCAAAATTCAACACTTATCTCTCTTTCCTTGAAATAATGAGATTTAAAAATCTCAAGCAAATTACTGAAATATTCATCTAAAGATCTTGTTTCTAATGTTTCTTTCCCTAAGAATTTATTCAATAATTTAAAACTTTCATATCTAGTTTTATCAATTGGTTCACCTGAAATTCTTAATAATCTATGTTCAACATGTACACGAAGATTCTGATCAAGGAATTTTTCAATATTTGAATTAATTAATTGAATATTGGCAGATCTTATCTTATTACCAACATCACCATGTTCAGAAATTGTATAATCATCTAATTGTTCAATCAAAATTATCAATGAATCCTTTGATAACTCTCCACCTTTTACAAGATATTGAGAAACTGATTTTATGATTAATGATCTTGTATCAGCATCAATACCACTTGATAATAAATTCAAGACATCTCCCGATTTTTGATTAAAATCTGGTAATAGACCAACATTAGCAGCTGTATTCTTATTATTGTTTTTCATATAGTAAATCCATTTGGACCAATATTCAGGACTTAATGATAAATTTGAAGCTAATTGTACTAGTTGTTTTCTAATATCTTCATGTTCTATTCTTATAGCATTGAATAAATTTTCAAAATCATTTTCTAAAGGTTCATAACCTAAGGATAATAATGTCCCAAATAATGAAAGATAAGATGATATGACAAAAACAAGATCTTTATGATGATTAATCTTAACATCTTGAAATTTTGGTATTAACGCTTGATTATGGCTGGTAGATTTTGATAGTGGTAGAATTTCAGAAAGAACAATAAAGGTATTAAATCTGCTTTTAGGTGTTTCAATATGTTCTGAAATTATTTCATCAATTTCTGATTGTGTAGAGTCTCCAAGTAATATTTTAAGTCCCTTTGAACTTAACTTAACAAGATCATAATCAACATTATAAACATTTGAAGATAAAAATTTGATAAATTTTTGTTTTAATGATGGGAACAATTTTAAAATGTTGGATGGTATATCAAAATATGATTTATCAATAGATCCAAGATCAACATAATCCAAAATTTCAATACTTTTGATATTTTTTGCTGAGTTTTCTTCATTTGGATAGAATTCATTCCATATTTTATTACCATAACGACCAATTAATTCTTGTAATGCAGCAGTAGATGAACGTCTAATCATGATTTCTTTATCAAAACAAGCAACTAATAATAAATTAAGGAAAATAGAGTGTGCAATTTTCAAATCAACATCTTTGTTATATTTGAATAATGACCAACAAATAAAATTTGAAGCATCACGGATATTTGATCCTGCGACAAATGTGATTCTTGATTGTTGGAAGAATAATGTCTTGGAAAGAATATGTTCAATTTCTTTGAAATCACCAAAATCTATGATTGAAAGTCTTAAAAACTCTGCAATGGTTAAAAGATATGTATGAAGTTTATCTGAATTTATTGTTTCAAAAGATTCTTTTAATAGTTCAATAATAGATTCTATAATATCCATCACTATTTCAATACCCATACAAGTATCTAAAATCTTGACAATTTTCACAAATTTTCTAGCAATTAAAAATCTTGTTTCAGTGTTTTTACTTGCAAAATTGTCTAAGAAGAAGGAAATTATATCTTCAATTTGATCATAATCATCAATATCGACTAGATAAGTCACAATCTTGGAATAAATTTTGATGATCATATCCAAAGACCCTTCATTTCCTTCATTAGATTTCAAGAATTCTGTTAATTGGGGTAATATTGGTTTAAATAACATATTCGAATCTTTTTGTAGTGCTAGATTTAAGGTTTGTAGATAGCCAAATTGTTCAGTCAATGAAGCTTTATTATAATTTGATGTGATTAATTGAATAAACTTATGGAACTGCTCTTCACTATCAGATCTCATTATCAATGATGCTAATACCCTTGATCCTAATGGTTGTAATGGTCCTGCATTTTTGGAATATTTCAACCCGATATCAAAAATTTCTTCTTTACTATCTTTTCTCAATGTATCTAGCTTAAATGGAGCTATACAAAGCACTGATAACCAACAGAGTAGCAAATATTCTTCATGCCAATGTTTCTCGTATGAATCTGTAAACTTTGATAAAATTGTGGGTATAAGACTAATATCAGTCTTCATAAAGTTCAACATTTTCTTACTCGATACGACCTTCCCAAATGTATAAAATACCTCTGTAGTCCATTTATCACCTTGATCAATATATAGAGCTAGCAGTGAATCAACATAGTTCTTCAAATGTTTATCAAGAAGTTGAGGACATGGTAAGAATTGATTGATACTGTTCACTAAACTTGAGACGTTTGATTGTTGTGATTTGGAATTTAGCTCTATTTGATTTGTTATTTCTTGGTGAAGCTCATTGGCAATCTTAGCAACTCGTATCTCATCAGCCTCCATTGTGTCTGCGAAAGTACTTTATTTATTTAACTTTTCCAAAATCTCTTAGAATGTCAACCTTTTCTTGATATAATGGATATAATTTTTATTCGACGTGTTTACGTTTCGCGTCCCCTACCGTGCTCTATTACATAATACATATAGAATATTATAGCCAAAATTTACTAGTAAAACTACAAAAATCAGTCCCAATTTCCCAATTAAATAAGCCAAATCTCCAAAAGTGAGAATGGATACAGAATCTATTATAACAAGTGCCCTTTAAATAAATCAATACTATTGTACAATGTGAAAAAATGCAGTATATACCCAATCGAAATTATAAAACCCATTAACAAAATCATTAACCAGTAGATCTTTGAACAATTTAATCAGTGAATCCGTTCCATTTGGATTCACCAGCTTCTTCCTTTTTATCACCTTCAACAGCTTCTTCTGTTGCTTCATCAGCTTCTTCTTCGTCTTCTTTTTGTTCAGATTTACTTTCCTTATCTTCTGAATTATCTTCAGTACGAGCTCTCTTTGATGATCTTTCTTCATCTTCTGGAGGTGGAACAAACCATGGAATTTTACCTCTGTTGAAATCATTGATAACTAATTTAGCAATACCTTGTTCATCTGGTTCACCACCTTTCAATAATCTACCATGTTTTCTAGCTAATAATTCAATAAATTCAGTACTATTTTTCCATCCAGAAATTTCATAAGTTCTTTCCAAATGTTGTCTTTTACATCTATTCAGCACACCTGGAATATATTGTTCTGCATGTGTAACATGTTCAACTCTAACAACACCTCTAAAAAGAATATCTTCTTCTGAATCTTTTGATGAAGGTGGAACAATACCTGGACAATCAATTAAGAAAATTTTCTTCATTAATGTAATATATTGCCAAACTTTAGTTTCACCTGGAATAGGAGCCACGGTACAGACCTTCTTTCTTCTTAATGTGTTAATAATACTTGATTTACCAGTATTTGGATAACCAATAAAACCAACAGAAATTTGTTTACGATCTGGATGTAAAACGGAAAATTGACGCAATAATTGAATCAATGAACCTTTACCAAATGAATTGGTAATTGAAGCATGGAATGCTAAAGTTGGATGATCTTTTGATAAATGTTTAACCCAAGCAGCCTAAAAAAATAAAATTGTTAGTTTATCATTCAAAAAATGATATCATCACAAGCCAATCAAATATTTTTTCCATGTCATTTAAGCCAAATTTAGATCTTTTGTTTCAAAATCTTCTCTCCAAATCTTGATGTAACTATATAAACTATAAAAAAGGTATTAAAATATGAGGTTCTTTACTACGAACATCATCCAGAAAAATTTCACATAAAGTGATTCCGAGTTCAACTCATAAGATCCTCCGTAATCCTATTTGAATACATCAAAACGATGATTCAAGATCTGAAAACACAAAACGTGAATTCAGGAAGCGAAATACTATTGTTCTTCCAAAGTTGTAACAGACAATTTTGTAGATAATATAAAAGAAAAATGTCCTGACAAAAAACTTTGGGTTCAAGATTTGGTAAAGAAATAAAAATGAAACAGTAATGAATCCAAATGCGCTTATGACACTATAATATTATGATTGTTAGTAATATGATAATTTTCTTTAACTTACGGCAACCCAAGTTGGAACTAAATCACACTTGTTTAAAACAAAAATCAAATGTTTATGAGCAGCTTCTTTTTTAATATATTGTTCAACAGATTCACATCTTGTACCTAAAGGATCTCTAGCATCTAAAACATGAATAACAACATCTGAAGAATCAATAACTTTATATAATTCATTCCAAATACGTTTGGATTGACCTTTATGGAAAATAGCTTCTTTAGCTTCAGCAGTCCAACCATCAGTATCAACATTACCCATCAAACCTAAAGTTGAATCAAGTTCTTTCTTTTCATCAAATTTTGTTTGATCTTTATCAGTAATATCAGCTAATTCTTCTAAAGATGAAACAGCCATTCTTGGTCTTTTACGTTGAGCTTTTGGACCAAATGTACTTTCGTAAGATTCAGTTTCCAAAATCTTACTTGTTGGAGATTCTGTAGTATCTTTTTCATCTAATAATGACATTGGTAATTTATTTCTTCTTAATAAAAATTGATAAGAATCTTGTTTTTTTTCACCAAGAGCATCTCTAAAATGTGTTAGGGCATCTTGTGAAATAACTCTTGTATTACCAAACCAACGACGATTTGGATCAACTCTTGCAGTTGGTAATTTTGTATCTTGTAAATCAGCAGCTTTAATAATTTCACCTTTTTTATTACGAATAGCACGACCTTTTTTGTACATATTCAAATGATTAACTTTTTTAGCATCACGGTAAAAATTTTCACCTTTAACTCGAAGGTTACCATCTCTAACATCATTTTCACGAACTCTACGTTCTTTTTCCTTCTTTTGTGTACCCATCTTGATTGATTATATGTGATAAATGAGGGACAATTCCTAGTTGTTGAATGAAAACAATTAGAAATAGTTCACTATCTTAACTAAAAAAATTTTGTAAAAGAAATCTTTACTATAAAAAAAATTTTTTTTATTTTTCATTGTGGGATTTCTAAAAATGGTAAGTTACGAGGTGGTTATATCCGATGGTCTGCGATGAGCCCTCGGAAATATAACCTCAGGTATAGATAGAATTTCGCTGACTGGTTTTCCAGAAATATACGGTGCTCTTGTAAATTTCTACGTTTATACCATTCATTATAATATATGTACATTAAACTACGATCTATTCAGAAAATGCTAGAAAGGACACCTTCAAGTTTAGCATCATGTTTTTGTTTCAAACTAGCAGGAGCATCGGCTCTTGTTGAGGTGACTTTTCTTTGTTCGAAAGTTCTTCTTGGTTCATCATCATCTTTTGAACTCTGATCTTTCTTTTTATTTTTAATATTTTCAATCATCTTTGATTTTTCAATATTTCTAATAAATGTCTTGTTTAATTTATTGGCTTGAGAAATTTCCATTTGTAATTTAGATTGTCTTGCTTCATTTTCTGCTGAAATTTGAGCAGTCAAATCAGCCCATTTGAAACCTGATAAATATTTAACATTCATTATATCATCATAATAGAAATTTCCCTTTTTACCACCAAGTTTATTACCATTCAATGTATCAGCACACATCTTAGCATCTTTCTTTCTAATGAATTCAGCCCAACCTTCTTCATACTTTATTTTCTTATTACCACCTTGTACTAAACGTTGTTTATATTTATGTTGTTGTTCTTTCTTCAAAAATAATCTATCAACTTCACCAAATCTAGTCAAGATTTGTCTCATTTTAGCAGGTTTCATATATGGAGGAATTTTAGAAAGATAAACAACACCAGTTTTACCTTTTGGCTTTTTGGTTTTCAATTTATGTAATTTTGATTTTCTAAATAATTCATTTATATTTTTTTGTTCATCTGAACCTGATGATTTATTAGTTGTTGATTCATTTGATTCTTCTTCATCTGATAGCATATCATCATCTTCATCGTCATCATTATCATTAAAAGCATCAAATGTACTCTTTTTAGATGTTGTTTTCTTTGTGTCAATTTCCTCATCTTCTGATTCGGAATCATCGAGTCTTGTTGGTTTAGTATTAAGTTCGTCTTCTGATCCCACACTTCTCAAATCTTCATTTTCATCATCACTATCCTCTATGAATTTATCCATCTTGGTACTCTGTGTGTCTTAGTTCTAGTTTGGTTATTTACGTTCCTTTAAAATTCTATGAGAAAGATCTAGAATTATAATAAATTAAATTTTCATATACACTATAAAAAAAAATTATAAGCATCTCCGGTAAGGGCACTACATCAACACTGTATAACCAATTTTAAACCAACTTTAAAGCGGTTTAAAGCACTTTCGAATTGAAATGTCTTAGTTAAAACGGGTTGCAATGAGATCTTCAATTTCTTGAGTTATCGTTTGACGTTCAATATTCTGATCAAATGCTGAATATTCTCCATTCTTCATCAAATCTTCACCACCACCATTAAACTGTCTTTTATGAAGCATCACTTTTGTTGTAAGTCTATAGATCCGATTGGAAAGCCTATAATACCCCCTAGCATATATCATTGTCATTATTAAAGTGGAAATACTAAAATTTCGTGTCAGAATTATCCAAGATATACTAGTTAATATGAAAGTTTGGTATCAAAAACATACAATGAAATACAAGTGATGATAACACAAGCTAATGAAACCCAGATTAAAAAATCAGTCATATCAATAACAGAAATAACATCACCAGACTGAGAAATTATAAACATATCTTTTGAAGCCTTTAGCAGAACAAACGTTATAATTGTAAGAATCATTGCAATGAGTTGGATGATAACCGACCAGATATTAGCCAGATAAGACCATTTATTTGGAACAATAGCAGAACCTCTAACGAAAAGACAAAACCCACAAAAACACTAGAGAAGGAATGTTAGTATACTCCAATATACTAGAGACTATAAGAAAAGACATACCAGAAACATAAAATAAAATGTTTGAATAACACAAATACTTGGTCTTCCATTGACAGTTTCAAAAGGTAAAGTAATGAAAATAAGACAATATTCACCAATCAATGCAATCATATAGACATTAGAAATAATTTTGAAGCTTTTAGTTGAATACAACAGTTCAATATCTTTAATCAATCCATTTCTTTCAGATGAAAATATGATCTCATCTCTTTGATCTGGTTTCATTCCATAATATGACTGGACTGGCAAATTTTCAAAAACTGATTTTGAAGGTTCTCTTGGTAATAAATCTGGGGAATCAGGTTCTTGGTCCATTATGAATTAGTGTTATCTTTGGATTCAGCTTGACATTATTGATATTTATTGATGTTAATCTGAGAAATTTTCCTAAATAATATGAAATGTTGATACTTTTTTGTTTTTGTGTAACGTCTTAAAATTTTCCAAAATGTATGCAAAAACAGAAACATACTCCTCTCACCATGATAACAATTGGCATAAAGGATTATATGGTACATTCTTAAGAATGATTATGAATTAATGACCATCTATTATTTTTGTAAACTATACTCATGAATATAACATTATACCTTAATTTTAGGAATCGGAGGTAATAAAGGTTTGTTAGATCCTGTTAATTGAGAATGAACACCACGTTCAATCTTACAAATTAAGCTTTCAGACCTTATAACACCTTCACTAATCCAAATCCCCCATGATCCCATCATATTTGCCATCAAGATATCTGTAAATAATCGATCTCCAATCACGGCGACTTCTTCAGGATCTGATACAATCTTATTTTGAATGAAATAATCCATAATTTCAGTATGACAGCCCGGTTTCTTTGTTGTATGTCTAAGTACTGATACGCCAGTTCTTTCCTCCAAGATCTTTGCTTGTTCATGGTGTTTATCATCATTTGTACCAGCAGAGTTACTAACGATTAAAAGACTAGCATCGGGATATTGTTTACGTAGTCTAGCCCAAGTTTCCTGCTAAAAGTTAGTAATAGAACATATTGTAGCAGTAACACTAAAAGCAACATACTTCATACGCTGGCCATACTTTGTCATCATGAGCTTTAGCAAAACAGTTATCCTTATCCAACACAATGGCTCTAATATTTGGTTTATGATTCGGAAATACTAGAGGTATAGGAAGCTTGTCAAATGAAGACACTGTGAGATGAGGAATGCAATAACTTGGACTAAAGAGCAGCCTGAACACGTTCAAAGTAGCACTGACGTTCATTATCAAAAGCTTTTCAATTCTCTTCTTGTACTTGTTGATCTTTGATCTTGTCTTTGTTAGCACTGAGCTTTCCCATAGTTAAGCAAAAAAAAATCAAAACATGCTCTGCCAACGACCCGTGTCAGTGAATTTTAAGTGGAAGCAATAGTGAAATTTGTGAATCAAAGTGTGTTTCTACGCGTTTTAATCTGGAATTTTGAGTGATTGGTATAATATGAGTTGAATATTTCAGTAGAATATATAAAAAGAACCTATTTCCAACGCATTTCCGGATAAATCTCTGTTTAATCTCTACAATTCAACTTTCGATGAGCCGGTTTCCACACGCAAATTCGCTAACAGTCAAAAAAAAATCTGTCCGAAAATGGTCAACATTTTTACTCACATTTGATAAACTCATCACAGTTTGAAGTCCGCTTAGGGTCAGTGTGCTTTTAGGGTTCAAAGGATAGGAGAACAGGACATCAAGGCTCAAGAGCTTTCACCCGCTATAGAGATCTCCATAAATAGAGCAAATTTAAACAGGTTTAGAGAAAGTCCGCTTCATTTATACAAACGATGAGTTCTTCCACTTCAGCTCCACCAACAAAATCAAGACGTCAATTCAATAAACCTAGAAGACCAGAGAATCAACAAAACAAAAATCAAAAAAATGGTTCATGGAAACGTACTTTTGCTAGAGATGGTCCTAAAGCAGATGAAGATGAAGATTTAGATGAAACTGAACAATGTGTCATTTGTGCTAATAAGATTGAAGTCGCTGCAAAATCCGGTTGTAATCATGTTACATGTCATGTTTGTACTTTCCGTCAAAGGGCTTTATATGATAAGAAATCATGTTTGGTTTGTAGAACTGAAAATTCAAAATTGATATTCACTGAAAATGTTTCTAAACAATTTAATGAGTTTTCAAATGGTGATTTTGTTAAATTTGATGAAAAATTTGGTATTGAATTTACTTCCCAATTTGCTGCTGATTTAACTTTAGGTTTATTACAAAATAAATGTTTATTATGTGATGAAATATTTCAAAATTTTAATCAATTAGAAGAACATGTTAAAGATGATCATGAAAGATTTTTCTGTACAATTTGTTCAACAAATAAAAAGGCATTTCCAACAGAATTCAAAATATATAGTGCTAAACAATTACAAAATCATCAAACAAGAGGTGATGAAAAGGGATTTGATGGTCATCCAGCGTGTCGTTTTTGTAAAGGGAAAAGATTTTACTCTGAAGATGAATTATTAATCCATATGAGAGAACGTCATGAAAGATGTCATGTTTGTGATCAATTAGATTCTTCAAATCCTCAATATTTTAAAAATTATCCAGCTTTAGAAGATCATTTCAGAAGTGATCATTACATTTGTAATGTTCAAGCATGTCTTGATAAGAAATTTGTTGTTTTTGGAGATGAATTTGAATTACAAGCTCATATGATTAGTGAACATGGTGGTGTATTTGGTACTAATATGGTGGTGGGTGCTAACTTTAGAGAAACCAATAATAATAGATATCATTCACAATTATCAACATTTCGTCCTGTTAATAATAATAGAAATAATAACAATAATCAAAGTAATAACAATAATAGAAATAATAATGGTGGATCATCACAGGATCAAAACGATTCAATTGAAACTAAACGTATGCGTCTTGAAGAAAGAGCAAGACATTATTTAAATTATTCCACAAATGAATTCAAAGAATTTCAAGATTTGAATCAACTTTTCAAAAATCATGAATTATCATCATCACAATTATTATTATCATATCAAGCATTATTTAAATCAAATCCAGAAAATGATGTTTATTTATTATTATTTGAATTATCTGAATTATATCCACAAAAATCCCCAGAACGGTTAGAATTATCCAAGATTGTTAAAGATCATGAAAATCGTAATAAAGATATAATGGACTTCCCAGCATTACCAGGTTCTTCAAATTCATTAAATGTTTTTGGTGCTTCATGGGGTGCTGGTGGTTCAGGTTCAAGATCAAACTCAAATTCAAATCTTTCCAAAACAAAGAAAAAGGCATCATTAGATGATCAATTTCCTGCATTACCTTCAAGTTCATCAGTCCCAACATATACCCCTGCACAAACAAATGTAAGGTATAGAACTGTTTTAAAACCAAAAACTAAGACACAAGTTACAATCAATTCAACTCCATCAAACTATGTACCAAATTATTTAGCACCAAAACCAAAAACATCAACACCTCCAACATCAAGAGCTACACAAAAACCAAAATTAAATGATTCACAATTTCCTGCTTTACCAAGTGCTGCACCAAAGAAAGTTATACCGAGAGTTAATCCTGTCCCTGCTGGTAATGGTGCTTGGGATGTTGGATCAAGTTCAAATCCATCATCAAGTGCTTCATCATCATTAAACCTAAATGAATTGGGTAATGCTTTACCAACAAATAATGGGAATGGTGGTAAGAAAAATAAAAAGAAGAAACAAATTTTATTTTCAATGGGTGGTAATTAGATCCTTGTAAACTCACATATATACTAATATAAACTTACATCAATATAGATATCCATAACTCATTAAATGTGAATTTTGTATATATAGAAATTTAGCATATCTTAGTATTAATTAATGTAATGGTAATAATGTTTGTTCAGTTAATGCTTGTCTACATAATGGACATTCTGGATGTTCACGACTCCAATCTAATATACATGACCAGCAAAAAACATGACCACATGGTGCACAACTTGGATTAATCATGTATGAAAGACAAAGCATACATTTTCTTGAATTTTCCGGGATGTATGGTAATAATTTTGGATTTGAAAGATCAATATTTTCATAATCTTTTACGTCTGGTACATGGGTAAGTATTCCTTCATCTTTAGTTTTCTCGTTTGATTCATCTTGTGTTGTATTTGATGATAACAAATCTGTTAATTTATTTATACTTTTGAATAAAATTTGTGAAAAGATTATACCACCTAATAATTCATAACCTCCACTTGATACACCTTCTTCTGTTTTAATTTTATGGCCAAATGCATATCTTAAACCAAATATTCTTTTGGATAATTGATAATATGATCCTGTTAAATAAAAAATGGCTAAATGTGCATTGATTAATGAATCCATAACTGATGAATATGAAATGTTAGATAATTTATTCCTCCATGAATTTTCTTCTTTTAATGTAGCATTATCATCTGTTTTGAATTGTCTTCTAAGAAATTTTGATATGAAATATGGTAATATAGCATAAGATAAAATAAATCCCAACCTTCTTAACAATTTGGGTATTTTCCTACCATTTCTTGAAACATAAATTAAATCAGTATATTCCTCTCCTAATGTTCTTGATCCAGCTAATGTAGTCAATGCTAAATATAAGAATTTTGCCAAAACGGTGATTTCTTCTGGATGAGTATGTATAAATCTTTGACCCGTGAATATCTGTATAGTATCTTGTATCTTTTGTCTTAATGTACTTTCAAAATATGAATCCTTTTGGTGAGCTCGTACTTTTCATTAATTTGTTAGTAAACATAATACAAAAATTAGCCTAACTCTATACTCACCTATACTTGGAGCATCTGCGAAAGGAAGTTGATGGTTTCGCTCTTTTGTGACCTTCTTAGTACTCTTCTCACTCATATTTCCATATAATCAATAACAATTTGGCTTGATCCTAATTTTGTAGTTGTCAATTGTTGACTACTGTTTATCAAAAGCCTTTTCCCCAGTATATAATCAACATTTTTCGAAAAGGTCCGAAAAATAGTTGTAAAATACCCGTATTAGGAAATTGGCTATTTTCGGAATGAGCATATAAGGAATTACAATTAACTACGTATAAAATGTGATTTTGAAATAATTAAAAATTAATTGATTAAATTACGTTGAATATACATGGGCAATTGTCTTTTTTATTTTGGTCCATCATTATTCTCAATAACATTGAACAAAAAATCATCTATGAACTGATTACCTAAACCTGTATTTGAAATGTTATTCAATGATGATAAATCTTTTATCAAATCATCTGAATGATAACGATCCGAAGAGCTTGATGAGTTAGATGGTGAAATACCAAGGTTTTGATGAGGTGTTGGTCTTGATGTACGAACTGAACTTTCTTGGAAACTATCAAATTTTGGAAATAACCAATCTTCAAATCTTTGATTTGTATTTGAACTGAACATTTTATTTGTATTTGATCCCATAAGGTTAGTTATATCAACTTCAACACCTTGGCTTGGTTGTGGTTGTGGTTGTGGTTGACTGAATCGTGCTTCTGGAAGTTGTTGTGTAGGTATTGGTTGAGGTAATGTTGGTTGTGGATTAACTGGTAGTTGATTAATTTGCTGCTGTTGTTGTTGGTGTTGAATTATAGGTGCCTGAAAGTTTTGTTGATATGGTGTTGGAGTTGAATTTTGAGGTTGAGAATATGAGAGATTACTATGAATATTCCCTTGTGGTGGAAATTGACCTGGGTATGGTATGGTATTAGGTTGTGATTGTGCCTGTTGTGGGAGAGGTTGTTGTGGTAAAGGTTTAAATTGTGGGTGAAGCTGGTGTTGCTGTTGTTGATATTGTTCTTGATGTTGTTGTTGCTGTTGTTGTTGTCTTCTTGCAGATTCTTGAACAGTAATGTGACGATGAACTTTCGTAGCGTCCAACATATTGGCTAAAATTTCTGAATATCTTTTTGGTGTTGGATCAATTTCACCATAATATGCCAATATCTTAATAACTGATTTCATTGAACTCACACAAACAACTTTTGAACTCTCTGGGGCTTGAGCCTTATCTTGATCGTTTCCATAAAATTCATCATTAATATCTTGAGATTGTAATAATAAGACCAATCCTAGCATTGCACCAGCATGTAATAATGAAGATGTCACTGTATAAGCCTTTAATGGATTTGATTTGTTATTAAAATGATATTCAACAAGCTTGATTAATAGAGTGGATGCTTTTATACAGGATTGGTAAAAATTCATCAATTTAGCAAAATTTTTGGATTTTTCATCAAATTTTATGAATTTCAACTTGATTAATATGACAAAGAAAAAAAAAGGTCTTGAAAGTAATATAACACTGTTTAAGTGATTAACATGAACCAATAATAATCCTGAATTATTATCATAATTATTACCATTTCTAAAATCTAAATTTTTCCCAATAGAACTATTAATTGTGAAATTCTTCATTTCCACTGCTAATTTCAATGCATTCTTCATACCAATTGATGGGTTATAATAAACTTTTGATAAAATCTTCCCAGAAAGGTTACTCACTTTAAGCATCTCATTTTGTAAATCATCAATATGGATTAATGAATCTTTATCATCCCATTCCAAATCACTAATAGTCAATGATCTACCAAGATGAGTTGAGCTGGCCCTATCCATGATGTATAAACTTCTAAAAAGTTTTCTTCTATGTAAAGCGTATCCAGGTTCTTTATAAGCATCGTTGACATATTTCCTATGCATACCTAAACCTTGAGCATACCGTATTGAAATACCTAAATTGATCCATGATGAATTTCTGGTCATACTTAATTCGTCATAAAAACACATTAACAAATGAGCTTCAACTAACCATAAATTACAATCACTTTGATGTTCATGTAATATTTTCAAAGCTTTGTGATAGTATAGTTGAGGTTGAACGAAATGTTCACGTGAGAATTTTGAAAGATTTCTTCTCAATTCAATATCCCAATATAAAGATCCAATAGCCAAAATTAAATAAAGTAAGCATAAATGTTGAGGTTTAGCATTTTGGGGATTTTCAAAAGTTTTTTTGTAAATCTCTTGATCAAAGAAATCATCATTGAGAACATAAATTATTTCACTAACATTAGTTTTGAACAATTGTACTAAATAATCTGCATATTGTTTCTCTGGTAATTTGACAGAAACACCAACATCTCTTGGTGTCAAAGAATCAACAATACTAAATCTTTCTGGGTCATGGGTAAATTTTGACACACCTAAAATTTTGGAAAAAACTCTTCGACATTGTGCTAAGAAAGGACCTGGTGATGATTCACCAATATAACGTAAATGACCAGTTGTATCGTAAAGCAGTCTTGAGTTCAATCCTTCTTCTTCTGGTACTAAAGTTATATCTTCATTCTTATTCTCTTGATCTCCTGATTCTTCTACTGCATCTTCAGTTGATTCAACATCTATTGGGAAGTGGAATAAAGGTTGAAGTGAAGGTGGTATCACGTTGGGCCTTTGACTACCTTCTTCCTTGATGTTGACTTTGTTATATTGTACTTTCTTTGCACCATGTTGATCATCGTTATGGACTTCTGATGATTTTCTTGAAGGTTTCAAATTCCGCTTATCGACACCTGTATAAGTACAATCAAAATTCTTTTGAGTACAAAGACCACATGGTAAATCACCATTACACTTTTGTTTTCTTCTCTTACATGAATCACAAGCTTTTGCAACTTTTTTCCTTCTTTCTGGGGGTATTATTCTTGATTTCTTGTTTCTCAATGCTGTAGCAGGATCTTCTAATGATGTTGGAGCTGAGAAACTCATGTTGACAATTGAACTTGTGTGTAATTAAATATTGGTTTAGGACTTTATCGACAAGAGCATCTACCAAAATTTTCCCAAGGATCCTCGATCTGTAAGTTCCAAGTGATATGATATCTTTGCTTCTGGCTAATGACAGCTGATCATAAAAGTTGAACCCTTTTTCGAATTTCAAATTATAAGGGAGTAAAAACCTATCCTCGTAACGTATTTAGTTGTTGGGGGCTCTGTTATCAAAATGAATATTATGGTCCGCTCAATTTTCAAAGGTTTGACAAAATATGTGCAGTTTCTTAAATATTGTATCCCTCCTCACTTGTTGGTATTCTAACGTTTTCCTACTAATTTATTGTTGTGAACTGGTTTTTTCAACTTTTAGCGCACCGCTGTTGACTTGGAAACGAGTAAATTTATACGATATAAGTTATAACTGAGCTCAATTTGAGGTCAAGTAACAAGTAAATTTTGATTGATTTTGAAAGTAATATGGAGATATTGTTTAGATTTAATTGACAATTATCAAGCTAATCGATATGCTTTTCCTTAATCGAATTAATGGAAACTCAGATATCAGTTAACTCTATATTGAATATAATGCCCTCGAAAGTGGTCTTGTAAATAGATATCCGGTCAATTCTTCATGAAGTTGAATAAGATCCAATATTTATTTCAATCCAATTTTAATTCTACAACTCAAATTCATAAAACAAAGTGTAATATATATTCTATAATTTACAGTTATTATATATGCCTAATATGACTTTTACAAATTTCATTAAATATTCATTAAAAAACAAGTGGTATAAGGTAAATGTTTAAATTTATGCAACTTCTTCAGCTTTTTCTTCAGCATTTTCAACCTGAGCAGTTTGAGCTTTAGAGAAAGCAGCATCTTGTGTGTATCTTCTGGTTGGAGTCCAGTTCTTTGATTGCCATGCTTTAACACCTGAAGCGTATAATTCATCAACTTCTTCTAATGACAAACCATTGGTGTGTGGAATGTTTAAGTAAACGAAAACAAAAGCGAATAAACAACATCCTAAGAAAACGTAACCGTAGTAGAAGTTAATAGCACCAGTGATGAATGGAGTGAAGAAACCAATTAAGAAACCCCATAACCAATTGGCAGCAGTAGCAAGACCCATACCCTTAGATTTGATTCTGATTGGGTATAATTCTGAGACAACAACGAAAGCAACTGGACCCCAAGTAGTGGCAAAGAAGAAAATGAAGAAACAAGCAAATGCAATCATAGCTGAACCTGCAGATTTGGATGATTCAGTGTGATCTGAGTTTGTGTATAATGCGGTAACACCGATAGTAGCATAGACAACGTAACAACAAACCATACCAGCAGCCCCGTATAATAATGAACGACGACCACCTAATTTGTTAACAGAGTAAAGAGAAAGGATAGTGGAAGCGAAATTAACAATACCTAAAACAATTGATGTTTGGAAAGAATCTGATAAACCAACAGCTTTGAAAACAGTGGTACCATAGTAGAAGAAATAATTGTTACCAGTCAATTGTTGTAAAGCTTGGATCATAATACCACACATCAATCTGTAGAAAATCTTTGGTTTACCAGTAACTAATTCTGTCCATGAAGCAGTACCAGCAGATTCTTCTTTTTGAATAGCAGCATCTAATTCTTCAACTAAAGCAAAGACTGATGGATCATCTTGTGGAACTCTGTTAGAAATAGCAATTGATCTTCTAGCATCATCTAATCTACCTTTTCTAATCAAGTAACGTGGGGATTCAGGCATAGAAATCATAGCAATGATCATTAAAATAGCCCAGAAGAAACATAAACCAAGACCAATTCTCCATTGAGCTGATGAGGTATAGTTTTTAGCACCGTAGTTGGTACAGTAACCTAAGAAAATACCGAAAGTAATCATCAATTGATATGATGAAACTAAAGCACCTCTTAAATGTTTTGGAGCAGATTCTGAGATGAATAATGGGGAAATAACACCAATGGCACCAACAGCTAAACCTGAAATGATACGACCAATGAAGTATTGGTACCATTTTGAAATTGAAGTGATTTGGACCAAAATACCGACAATGTAAATAACCATCATAATCATTAAAGCAATACGACGACCATAGATATCAGCAAATTTTGATAAGAAAATAGCACCAAAAGCACAACCAATGTTAAAAATAGAGACAATTAAACCCATACGGACTTTTGATAGATAATGTTCACCTTCAGAATTCACTTGACCGAATCTTCTAACGAAATCATCCATGTTAACGAAACCAGAAATGGTACCAGTATCCCAGCCGAAAACGAAACCACCAAAGGCAATCATAAAACATAAAGCACAAATCAAGATATAAGCTGAAGCTGGTTTTGTTGGAAGTTCTGGGGCTGATTTATCAACTTGATATTCATCAGATTCATTATGTTTTAATGAATCATTTGTTTCTGGAGTTAAAACACCAGAAGAATTAACTTGTGGAGTTTGAAGATGTTGATCATCTTCTTGATTATTTATAGCTGACATTATTGAAATGTTAATGTTTGATTAATACTTCAAATGTATAATGAAGAACTAAATTACCTACCAACATTTCGAATTTATCTGGGAATCAGGTCTATATTTATATAAATTCATGAGAATTTTTCTCTTCTGAAAAAGTCCCAGGAACAATTACTTTTTTTGTTTATGATGTGTTTTGGGTGAGACAGTTATGGGGGACTGAAACCCCATGGGACACAATTCTTTTCGAATAATTTCGTCTAAATCGAGTGATGGTTGGTTGTTCCGCATTGCTCGTTACTTTTTTTCTAGGAATTTCTGCTGCGATCATTGCTTTTTGGGCCAAAATCAGAAGTTGAAGCCTTGGTTTTTCCGGACAAATATGCGTGCAAATTTGAAGAATCTGGCGATGTTAATCCAGTTAATCCGTAGACCTAGTTGTGGGAAATAGGAAAGTATTACAAGTGTGAAGTCATCTATACTTGAATGTGTTGTATTTGTTGCTGTTGCGTTGATTAAACTACATTTCGTATTTACACAAAGAAAGTCGTTCAATAACGAATTGTTTCAGGTCAGGGTTCTTTCTTTCTTTTGGAATTATGGTGAAAATCGGACGAACGAGTTGAACTTGTGTATGTGGTCTTTTCTTTTCAACGTCGAGCGCTCCCGCAAAAACATCTTTCCAAGGAAAAACTTTTTATGTTTGTTTTGATTTTAGGTTTGGACATTTGACCCTTTTGGGACGACTTTTTGAGAGATGTCCAGTTGAAGCTGCGTCAGTGCGTCATTCTCGGATTAAATTTTCTTGCAAGTTTGTCCGAACTTTGACGAATAAAAAAAGTTATCACCAGATTAACAAGGAAAATCAGTGGAGAACGCGTTCCAATTGTTAGCTGGGCTTAATAATTTGTAATCCCCAGCCTGGACTCTGGAGAAGCTTGGAAGTTGGAAGTTGGGGAGCATTTTCAGCCAGTTAAAATTCAAATTGCAATTAAAAATAAGGAGACCGAGTAACGAATAACTTCGTATCTTGGAAACTTTTCAGACAATCTGAATACAACATTTAATTTCACACCGACAATATAACGAAGTTGGAACTTGATACGATTCGAGTAAATTATATCGTACTTTGTTCTGCTTATAACTTATAAGGGATAGGCGTTATAAAAAAGGATGGTATATTAAGGATGTAGAATTGTGATCTCGAAACTTGACAATTATAATCTTATATAGCGCCTGAAATTAAGTATAGTATACATCTATGCGACGTATATCTGCAACAAGGTACCTTTAGCGTTAGAGTAGGGTCGTACAATTACTGTTAGCTCTTAAGTAGTAGCCGGTGTATTCAAAGTTGTTGATTTTTGACTATGAAAGTTTTAGTTCGGCCTACACAGGAATTTTGCAAGCGATATAAATTTATAATTCGATCCGGAAAAACTCTCGCTGGCGGGAAAATTATTGATCGATAAGAAATTTTAAAGTTCAAATTTCGCATTCGTTGATCCAACAGTAATTTAACTAGAGGTCTATGACTCTAGAGTCTATACATCGTGTTTAAAGTGGCCTCAAGCTAATCATAAATTGCTTTTAATGAGATTTTATTAATGTTTCAAACAAAACCATCTGATGGAAACTTCGGATAGATGTAAAGAATCAATTAAGGTCTACGATCTGATCATGTCATTCATAGTATTGATGCTTATGATTCTAGAGCAAAAAATACATACGTAAGCTTTCGATATAAATACTAACAATTAGTATCCATGTAATTCAATAACCTTCATGGTAGTTAGATAAGCTATATTTATTGTATTTAACAGCTCTACTAGATTATTAACATGACAATTAAAGAAATATTCAGCTGATCAACCAGTACATCATGAGAGCTAGTAATATTTAATGATATAGCCACTGTCAGCTCATTAATTAGCTTATATCGATTTCATATGGCGCTTTAGCTGGCCGGTTTACAATTATTACCTGTATTACAAATTGTACTTAGTACGTCGTCTGCAAATTAAGTTTATATGGAGTACTATATGGTTATTATGCAATATGTTACAATTATACTGCGGTTTCGATAAGCAGATTGACCGTGAAGAATCGTTTTGTGAGTTGTATCTATAGAACTTTTGTCCTAATCAAACAACCTAAAGCTAGGTAGCTTAATATACGTACTCCATAAAGGCATAAAAGTGGGATATAGTACATAACTTCTAAGATACATTGATATATCATGAAGTTACCTCCTGACTCCTGACTGATCTGATCCTAGAGCTCTACGTAGTCCAACGTACCCTGATTTCTGATTATTCTAAGCAATCTCATGAATTCTAAATTAAGTTTGCAACGGTTATCAGACGTTTCACCTAAGAGAGCATAAAGCTAACAGCATAGCGTGCTATTTCAACATTTGGGCGTATACGGTATAAGGAAAAAAGTTTAACCTCTATAGAAGAATTTAAGGTTACAGAAAGATTCCAATTTTCAAGCTGGTGTATAATTAGCGCTCTAGGCCTCGAGGGTACATAAAGTATTCTTTTCATTCGCGTAACAGCGTTTGCTTAAAATTCGCCCATGGGGAAACGTGAAATCTCCAGCCAAATAAATTACACAACATTTTAAATGCAGGACATGTAGCTGTGGGTGTGGACACTGGAGAGACCTTTATGAAAACAAATTCTGATTCATAGATCGAACGACTTTAGCAAGCTGTTTATCGCTAAAAGTTCATATCGTGATGTAATGCTTCAATACAACTCTATCCGATCCAAGAAGAGTGAATCGTAATTACCTGAGAATAACACATCCCATCTGACTCCAGAATATAAATCATCAGTTGATTGTTTGTGTCTCAATCATAGTACCAACAGCTGTTGTAATTTTAAACAAAATTCACTTGAACAATTTTGCAAACCTTCATGTCCCGAAGTTCCGGAGTCAAAAGAAAATGTCAGACATAAAATGCGGTTTTGTCCAATGTCCGAATTTAACTTCAATTTTAATTTGTCCTGTTTAGAATTAAACCGCGTTAATCACCAGATGACGTTAATTGTTCGTTTGAACTTTAGATCTGTTTACGTTACTAAAAATTAATCCGTAATTGTTATAACAATCTATTGATCTATAATATATTATAAGTTTCATAATTCATATACACATAACTTGAATGACTAGATTTAAATTACCACAAACACATCTAGTCATCATGATTAAATAAAGGTATTAAATGTTTGTTGATTAAAAGAATCTTTTTAAGAATTTTGGAGCATCATCTGTAGTTTCTTCAGCTTGTTGAGCTTGTTGAGCAGCTGTTCTTTGTGCAGGTGGAACCCATGATGATGATTTCCATGGTAAGACTTTTTCAGCGTACATTTCATTAACTTCTTCTAAAGTCAAACCTTTAGTTTCAGCGACAAAGAAAAAGACATATAAGAATGCAAAGACCAAACAACCCAAGAAAACATAACCATAGTAGAAGTTAATAGCTGATGTGATAAATGGTGTAAAGAAACCAATTAAGAAACCCCATAACCAATTGGCAGCAGTAGCTAAACCCATAGCTTTTGATTTGATTCTAATTGGATAAGTTTCACTGATAACAACGAAAATAATTGGACCCCAAGTTGAAGCAAAGAAGAAAATGTAAATACATGCGAAAACAATCATAGCATTACCTGCACCTTTTGATGATTCAGTATGTTCTGGGTTTAAATATAATTTTGTGACACCGACAGAAGCGAAAACTGCGAAACATGCAATCATACCAGCAGCACCACCTAATAATGATTTTCTTCTACCAAATCTTTCAACAGCGTATAAACCTGCAAAAGTTGAGACGAAATTAACAATACCTAAGACAATAGCAGTTTGGAAAGAATCTTTCATACCAACAGCGTTGAAAATAGTGGTACCATAATAGAAGAAATAATTATCACCAGTCAATTGTTGTAAAGATTGTAACATAATACCCATGATAACACGATATAAAATTCTTGGTTTACCAGTAAATAATTCACCCCATGATGCAGTACCAGCAGCTTTTTCTTTATCAATACCTGCTTGGATAATTTCAACTTCACCGAAAACTGATGGATCATCAACGGAAATTTTATTTGATTTAGCAATGGAAACTTGAGCTTCTTCGATACGACCAACTTCAATTAAATAACGTGGAGATTCTGGCATTAAAGTCATACCAAAGATCATCAAAAGAGCCCAGAAGAAACATAAACCTAATGGAATTCTCCATTGAGCAGAATTGCTGTAAGTTTTAGTACCAAAATTAGTACAATAACCTAAAAAGATACCAAAAGTAATCATCAATTGATAACATGAGACCAATGTACCTCTTAAAGCTTTTGGAGCAGTTTCTGAAATTAACATTGGTGATAAAACGGCAATAGCACCAACACCAAGACCTGAAATGATACGACCAATGAAATATTGGAACCATTTGGTAGTTGAAGTGATTTGGATCAAAATACCAACGATGTAAACAACCATGACAACCATCAAACCAATACGACGACCTAATCTATCACCTAAAGGAGCTAAAAGAATACCACCGAAAGCACAACCAATGTTGAATATAGAGACAATTAAACCGACACGAACTTTTGATAAGAAATAATCACCTTCAGAATTCATTTGACCAAATCTTCTAATGAAATCGGTATGGTTAACGAAACCACCAATGGTACCTGTATCCCAACCGAAAACGAAACCACCAAAGGCAACCATCAAACATAAGATACTAATGAAGACATATTCTTTAACTGGTTTTTCTGGAATACCAGCATGATGTTGATTTTCATTTCCTTCTAAAGAGGAATTTTCTATCTTTTCATGATCATCTGAAAGAACATCAACAGGTGTTTGTTGACCTGATGTTTCAGTAGACATTTGTAATTAAAATAACTTTGTAAATTGATATAGCTTATACTATAAAGTAATTGCTGATGATAAAAGAAAACATAATTAATTTCAACTTCTAAACTATGGGGATTCATATCCTTTTATAGATAATTTTCCAAACCTATACCAACGCCCTGGGTGCTCTCACGCACATACAGTTCAATGTTCATTATTAGATCTTCAGAACGTATGTTACTCATGCACAACAGGTACCACTCCACGGGGAAACTTAACAAATTATCTGCCCTAGACTTTCTCATGATTAAAAGCTTAAAATTTCTGCGCTTAAAAAATTATTTCTTTACCAAAATTAGACTGCGAATCGGCTACAACAGGATATCAATTAATGTGAGATTTTGGCGTCAGAAGACGCACTTGGCTTACGGTTAAATATTCTATGTGTAGCCTAAAGCTTTATGAACTCAATGGTACCATTAACATGAGCTTTATGACTAACTAATAACTACGTAGTGTATCATGTTCACTCCCATTTTACGAAAGTTGCACTCCAGGTTTCTTCCTTGAATCTCATGTACTTCCCCATGGAGACCTTTCTTTTTAGCCTTGCAATTTATCCTCCGTCAAAAAAAACTGGTGATTATGGGCTGACATGACTGCTCCCAGTGTCATTTTGCCAGGCTCGCTGAGCCGGTTTTGTCTAAATTTGTCTCTAAATTATCCCTTTCTCTGCCTAAAATCACCCCCAAATACTTGCAGAAATTATCCGGGGACGCCCCAGGAAAAATTTTTCACCTGCCTGCACGTCTTTTGTTTTTCCAACCAGTAATAAACTGTAATTAAACAATAAATCGCCCCACGGAAAAATTAACCAACCGTTCAAATGTAACAAATCGTATGAATAAGTGAGCTGTACGAAGTAAAATATGCGGATAAATTTAACCAATAATCATCATAGTTATTCCCGTTAGTTGATCTGTTATATGGCTTTTGCGGCATCTTGTATCTTGAAGTTTTCAACTATTTGTTCTACGTGTCTACGTGTCTATCTAATTAATCAATTAAAAAGATATCGGTTGGACGGTAAGGACGGGAGCCATCTGATGTTCAAAAGAGCTCAACGTAGATATGAAGATTATACAAGGATCGTGCTAACTTCTAAGTTCTAACTCGTACAATAATGTAGATCATTTCATTTCCAATTGTCCATCATATTTATGATGCGTTCAACATGTCGGACGTCGTACGGTGTAGTAATTCACAAATTATCGTTTTATTGTTCTAGTCTTAGCATCTAGGCATCGAATCTTCAATCTACTAATAACCGTTGATGACTTATAATTTCTTATTTCATCTCTTGAAGTATAACCATAGTACTACATAATAGAATGATACTGAAACGCATATAATTCGTTAACAGGCTCGTCGCTCAAAGCTGTATTCGAAATTAAGAACTTTTATAACTTGGATCTAAGTTATGCTTCATTTGATTTCAGGAACAGCTTGAGGTATTTTTCCGTAACTAAGGATTATTTTATAACAGCAGCTAACTAATTCAAGTGTTGAAACCTGCAATTTGCAAACCAATAAAACTCAGCACATTCATTGTACAACTTACAAGCGCACTGCAAGGCTACAAGCTATCAACCCAATTAAAGCATGGAAAAAATAATGGATAAACTTAGTATGTAAAAACGTGAAAACTCAACAAATTAACATCACCTCACACCCATCAATAAATCCTATTGGTTAAAAAAGTTGTTCCAGCTTAGGTTCCGGATTTATGTACCTCATGTAAGTAGCCTTAGTTCTGTGAAGGTGCCTATGAACTGTAGTTTTGAACAATTAGATGTGTACAAGCACTCGGTGAAATTATAAAGAATGTAGCCTTGAGAATTCAAGTTTCTCCGTGGGGCCCCAATTTTTTTATTCATGATTCCTACAAATTACGAGTGAAAATCAATTGAATCTACTCTAGACTAAAACTTACCTCTTGAACTTTGATTAATTAAACTAGTAATATTTCATTACAATAGATCAATGGTATACTTATATTTCATTACAATATGAACCATCTATCTACTATCTACTATCTAGTCAAGGCGTTCCATATCTCGATATAAAAGGTTTCAAACATGATTCATATAGGCTAGAATTAATCGTATCATATTGAAAGTAACAATAATGGGCTCATATACAACGATTTCAAAGCTGTTCAAAATATTTCAAATCATCAGTCAGAATGAAATAGATACAAATTATTAGGGTTCCGGTTGTAGTGTAGAATAATTTTGATCAATCTCCAAAATTAAACCAATTGTTATTGATGCTAAATAATAAAGTGATTTAGTCGACTTGTTTACAAATACCTACATTTACTTGAGATGTAATAATTCATGAGAAGCGAATAGTCACATACATAACCAATATAAAAATACCTCTATTGTTCCCATATAGTTTTGTGTTTTTGGAGGATGGCATATTGAAGAGTTTGCTTGAAATATATTATTCTTTTACTTGATTGATTGTAAATTTTCAGATCATTGTGGACGTGCTAAAACTTGATATATATCATCATAAATCTTGGAACTGGTTGGGTTTGATGGTGAGACGGATGAAGGTAAAGGTGATGGGGACATTATTGAACTAAAATAATTTTGAACTCTGTTCAATGCTGAATTACTGACATATTCATTAGGAACTGGTGGTAAAACTTCACTTGTATTTGAACTTAAATCATTCACATCCGCGTCTGTTTCATTTAAATCATCAGAATTTTTGTTGATATTATGACCGTCATTCAGGGTTGAAGATTTGACATTGTTTGAAACATCATTGGCTAAAGAGTTTAATACTGATGGACTGTTAAACAGTGATTTATATTCTTGTTCCTTATTTAATTCCAAGTTCATATAATTGAAAAGGTTTCCTGATAGTGGAGTGATATCATCATTATTGATTGATTTGACGTTAATTGATTCCTGTTGTTCATACTTTAAATTTTCTTTATAAACAAGGTTTAAAGTTGATCTAAGAATTTCAATCTCTTGTTCAGCTGTTTTCAATTGCTTCTTGTATTTATCAGATTCTAATGCAGCTCTTCTGTTCAACTCTAATATTTTGAATACTAATTGGGAATCTTTTGACAATTTCTTTTGATAGTTATCAATAACAATACTATGATATTCAACAAGACTTTCCCATTCGTTCACTGGAATATATTCTCTACCGTTTGTAATACCTAAAAGTTCATATTTATCGAAGACGCGACTCAATTCAGTTTTTGGATTATCATGATCAAAAATTAAATTTTCAGTCTCTTGAATCAATTTTGTGAATTCTTCATCATCATCATTGGCAACCTTGGAATTTATATCAAAAAATGATCCATCTAATTTTTCAGATTGAACTTTTCTAGCTAATGAAGGGGATCTATAACTTCCAGTCTTAACATTCTTTTTCAAATTCAATGTTCCATATTGGATATCACTATTATCATCATAATCATTTTCTTTATTTAAATATGGATTATCACTGTTCTTTGTTGGACTAGAAAATGATGATCTATTCTTATTAAGGGATGTAACAGAAGATTTTGATTTTGGTGTACCTTGGTTACTGTTACCATTTTGAAATAACCCAGTTAAAGTTTGACCAGCTCTATTTTGACTAACTGCAGTAGGAGGTTTTGAACTTGTTCTAATATTTGATTTTGTTGTGGGTCTTGATTTGGAAGCACCAGCTTTTAAAGTCAGAATTTTACCAGTATTATCATTTGTCATACGGTATGAAGATGAAATAGTAGGTTGTGCATACCCTGGAACACTGGAATCCCCATTACCAGCACCTGGTCCACCAGCAGATCTCAAGCGTCTTCTTGGAGTTCCATCAATGGATTTTCTAAACCCTCTTAAAGATCTTGCTTCTGACATCTTTGGATATCTATGAGACCTAAATCCACTCAGAAAAAGAGCACACAGCCAGTTAACAGTATCAAAGCCAGTTCCATAATTTAAGTTTTCAATATCTTTGAAATAATGAATTATATTTAATTAACTTATCATTTTTGTGTCAAAGATGTACAAATTCAAATCACAAAAACAACAAAGTTTAATTGAACGGAAAAACTTGGATTATGTAAAGATTATATAATTTGAAGTTCCGATGCTTCCCGAACCGACACAAAAATTTTTTTTGTTCGCGAACATCGAAATTTAGAGTCACTTTTTTCATATGATATTGAACCATCGAATGTTATACTAGAAAGGAAATTTATATCTCTTTTTGAATTGACACTCACATTATTTTGAGAAGTATATGGATGCTTATAGGTTTTAGACACTTAAATTCCAAACCATTCATTTCTTTCAAAAACTTTGCATTTAAAAACCAAACAGTTAAAGTTTGTGGATATAATAGATTCTTATCATCAACAAATCTTCAATTTCAATCAAATTCTTTTAAAGAGCAAAGCAAAACTTTAAATTATAATAAAGAAGTCAATTTTAAAGTGAATTTTGATACAATGGCTACTACAATTAACGATTCATTGGCTAAATTGTCATTAAAAGAACCAACCACTTATGAAGGTTCTTTCCCAGAATACAACACTGTTGATCTTTTAAGAAATTACATCACTCAAGAATTATCAAAAATTTCTGGTGTTGACCCATCTTTAATTTTCCCAGCTTTAGAATGGACAAATACTTTAGATCGTGGTGATTTATTAATCCCAGTTCCAAGATTACGTATCAAAGGTGCTAAACCACAAGATTTAGCCGTTGAATGGGCTGAAAATTTTCCATTAGGTGAATACTTATCAAAAGTTGAAGCTAATGGTGCTTTCATTCAATTCCATTTTGCTCCAAAATTCTTATTCAACGTCGTTATTAAAGATGTTTTAACTCGTAAAGGAGATTATGGTTCATCTCCTATTGGTCAAAATAAAAGAGTTTGTGTTGAATTCTCTTCTCCAAATATTGCTAAACCATTCCATGCTGGTCATTTACGTTCCACTATTATCGGTGGTTTCTTATCTAATTTATACGAAAAACTTGGTTGGGATGTCACCCGTATCAATTATTTAGGTGATTGGGGTAAACAATTTGGTCTTTTAGCTGTTGGTTTTGAAAGATATGGTAGTGAAGAACAATTAGCTAAAGATCCAATTAATCATTTATTTGAAGTTTATGTTAAAGTTAACAAAGATGTTGAAAATGAAGGTGATTCATTACCAGAAGAAGAATCAACCAATGGTCAAGCTCGTGCTTTCTTTAAAAGAATGGAAGATCAAGATCCAACTGCTTTAAAACATTGGGAAAGATTTAGAGCTTTATCAATTGAAAAATATATCAGTACTTATAAACGTTTAAATATTCAATATGATGTTTATTCAGGTGAGTCTCAAGTTCCTCAAGAATTAATGAATAAAGCTTTAGAAATCTTTAAAGAAAAAGGTTTAACTCATGAAGATAGAGGTGCTCTTTTAATTGATTTGAAAAAATTCAATAAGAAATTAGGTAAATGTATTGTTCAAAAATCTGATGGTACTACTTTATACTTAACAAGAGATGTTGGTGAAGCTATTCAACGTTATGAAAAATACAAGTATGATAAATCTATTTATGTTGTTGCATCTCAACAAGATTTACATGTTGCACAATTCTTTGAAATCTTAAAACAAATGGGTTTCGAATGGGCTAAAAACTTATTACATATCAATTTCGGTATGGTTCAAGGTATGTCAACTAGAAAAGGTACTGTTGTTTTCTTGGATAACATTTTAGAAGAAACCAAAGAAAAAATGCATGAAGTTATGAAGAAAAATGAAGCTAAATACGCTCAAATTGAAAATCCAGATGAAGTTGCTGATTTAATTGGTATTTCAGCTGTTATGATTCAAGATATGCAATCTAAACGTATCAATAATTATGAATTCAAATGGGAACGTATGACTTCATTTGAAGGTGATACTGGTCCATACTTACAATATGCTCATTCACGTTTAAGATCAGTTGAAAGAAAATCTGGTATTTCAACTGAAAAATTAGCAAATGCTGATTTCTCATTATTAGTTGAACCACAAGCTGAATTATTAATCCGTTTATTAGGTCAATATCCAGATGCTTTAAGAAATGCTTCTAAAACTCATGAACCATCAACTATTGTTACTTATTTGTTCAAATTAACTCATCAAGTTTCATCATGTTATGATGTCTTATGGGTTGCTGGTCAAACTGAAGAATTAGCAACTGCTCGTCTTGCATTATATTCTGCTGCTCGTCAAGTCTTGTATAACGGTATGACCTTATTAGGTTTAACTCCAGTTGACAGAATGTAAGGGTAGTTAAACAAGAGTAAATAGTTTAAATTATAATTCATTGTAAAATATATATACATAAAGTTTTTTATCTTCAGATCTGTAAATCTAAAAAAATGAGTAACTTGAACCAATGATAATAATATCGCGAGATATTTAGATCACATTAATATTAGTTCTACTCAACGAATTATATAAAACTTATATCCTCGATCTCTTTAATGTTGTTTATTACATTAGTCTTTTAACATTGAATAAAATCTTGACACAAAGCTTATTATGATGTGTCCCTTATCAATTATATTGTTTAATTTTAATTATTTTAATCTTAGTTTTATTCGAAATTTTCTGCAGTAAACATATCAATTTAATTTAATGAAAATTCTATTTGAAGCCCAAATAATTCATTTTGATATTTATTTGTTCGTTTTTTGAAGAAAAAATTTTAATCAGTTCTCAATCTTGATAATTTTGAATTAAAAATAAAATTTATGAGGTTACCATTAAAAAAAATAATAAAAATTTCAAAATTTAATTTTTGAATTAAAAGACTAAAAAATGCATAAGAAAATAATCTTCGAATCTTCAATTATACTCTCAGCTAATTAAGATCTAAATAATACAAGGTTTTATTCTTCAATTATCAATCTTTCAAATCCCGGCACACATTAGATAACATTTTTTTGCATCAAAGTTCAAACGAATATAAAACATTCAATAGTTGTTAAAATTATCTAAAACTAATAATGCATGAAGATTTAAAATCAATAATCAATAAATGATTATTTTGGATTCAATTGAAAGCCATTTAAGTACAAAAAATCAAAATTTTGCGTTTTGAAATTGCATTTTCTATGGCACAACTTGTTAAACCATCCTAAAAAATGACCTAAACACCGGTTACAGTGGCCGAGTGGTTAAGGCGATGCCCTGCTATTTCGTGTAGCTGTTAGGCATTGGGTTTTACCTTCGCAGGTTCGAATCCTGTCTGTAACGCCATTTTTTTGCAGCTTTTTTATTGGGCGAACTACATCATTTGAAGGTTTAAAGTAGCTAATGTGAATGTTCGAAGTTATTTTAGTGATATTATATCTTTTTATTTACCATTATAATACAAACAGTACTGAGTTTAGGCAATTTTTTAAATTTCTAATTTTTTTGGTGTAATCTCATCGCATTTTGTTGCGCGAACCCATCCGAAAAAATTTAATTAGAAACATAGATAGAAAAAGTAGAAGAGACTATTTTTACTGTGTAAGTGCTTTAAGTAACCTAAGTATAAACAACCAGTTAAAATGGGTAAAGTGAAGAAGACAAGAAAGTTTGCTCAAACTAAACGTATCATTTCCAACAAAGATCAAAGAATGTAAGTGTGGTATTCACTCTTGGAGTTATTGTAAAGAGTATTCTCATCAAAGCTGATTCAATTTACTAACACATCTATTTAGAAAAAAAAACAATGAAAAAGAAGTAAAGAATAAAGATGATCCAGAACTTGCAAGAAACATGTATGTATCATAAATATTGATTAAAAAATGAATATATGTACTAACAGGATCATTAGTCCACAAGTTTCAAGTGCATTATTTTTCCAATTTAATGAAGCTATAAAACCACCATATCAAATTTTAATCGATACCAATTTTATAAATTTCTCCATTCAAAAGAAAATAGATATAGTCAGAGGTATGATGGATTCCCTTTATGCTAAATGTATTCCATTAATTACAGATTGTGTCATGGCAGAATTGGAAAAATTAGGTCCAAAATACCGTATTGCATTAAAATTAGCCAAAGATCCAAGAATACAGAGATTAAGTTGTTCTCATAAAGGTACTTATGCGGATGATTGTTTAGTTCATAGAGTTATGCAACATAAATGTTTTATTGTGGCCACAAATGATGCTGATTTAAAACGTCGTATTAGAAAAGTTCCAGGTGTTCCTATAATGAGTGTTGGTGCTCATTCTTATGTGATAGAAAGATTGCCAGATGTGTTTTAAGCTAAGGAAAGTTGTTTACTATTCATTGTATATTATAAGTTGATATGAATTTGGAGCATTAAATTTAATGACCATTGATTTGTAGATTAATTTCAATTTTTTTTTTACTTTCAAGAAGGCACCACTTTGACAATAATCCCACTGAAATTTGCCACTTAAAAGGAATAAGTCAAGGCATTCAAATAAAATATACTTGGGCAATGCTTTTTCATAAATTCATGATTTATTCATTTTAAATATCAAGGTTATGCCTTTATATATTTTTAAGTTACACAGTAAAAATTGACAGAATTTTTTAGGTTGTTATAATTCAGATTCTAATGGCGTTACAAAACAAGACAGAATCAATAAAACATAGATCAAATAGATCACAGAGTCCAACTTTTGAATCGCAATTAAACGAAAATGGGTCAAGATGATATTAATCTAAAGGCAGTGAAACAGATCACAGACATGGGGATCTCTGAAGAGCAAGCAGTTCAGGCTTTACAAGTGAGTTTTATTTGAGGGCAAAAAGTATCATCAAAATCATCAACACTAACATAATTGGGGAATAGGTTTCAAATGGTAACGTACAAAGTGCTTTAGAATTCATTTTTCAAGGGGGTGACCTTACTCAACAACCACAAGATGCACCAGCGTATGATCAAGGTAATTATGAATATCCAATTGAAGAGGAAAAATCAGGTAGCGCACAAATAGAACCTGGGATTTTACAAGATAAATTACCACCATCATATAATCATGAATCTATACCACCTCCAGTTCCATCAAGAGATAATCAATTCAATTCAATTCATATTGAAAATGCAGAATTTTCAAATAGTCAAGTTTCATTATCAGACTCTGGTTATTTACCAGATACCGAGACAAATAGATTACATCAATATAATTATCAACAACAAGCTAGACAAGATTATTCAATTTATAATGATGCTACAAAATTCCAAAGATCTGAAAGTGCACCACCTTTATTAATGCCAGTTAGAAATGGTGTTTTGGAAAGTTATTTGAATCCACTTTTAACAATTTTACATGAAATTCCAAGCTTCCGTAAGGCAATTTATGAACAACAATTTGATACTTTAGGGTTCCATCCACGTTGGTATAGAGGTGAACCAATAAAGATACCTGAAGGTGCTGCAACAAAAGTTAAAGAAGGTCATGAAGTTGATTTAAAATTGTTATTAGAAGTTCAAAGATTATTTGCATTTTTAGATGGTGATTCATTAAGATCATTTTCCTCCATTTTGAATTTCCTTAAAGCTTTCCCTAAAGAGGCACAAAAAGAATTCCATAATGTTGAGAGTATTTATGAAGCTTATGAAGTTTTCTATAAAGTCTTAATTAAACAATTGGAAGCTGTTGGTGCTGATGATGTACATCAATTTTTTGAAAGTAAATTATATTATGATGAAACTGAAAAAGAAAAATCATTTGGTATGTTCCATGTGGAAGCTGAAGAGCTGAAAAGTGATTTATATAAAACCATACATACCATACTTTGGGGTGAAGATTTTGAAAGTACAGAACGTATTTTAACTTCAGTTTCAGATGTTGTCACTATTTCTTTTGAACCATCTTTCCATCATGCCCCATTTGGAATTGAGATTCCAGAGGTTTTTTATCCCCAAATTTATACCAAAGATTTCCAAGAGACTATCAATACACTTGTTAAAGAGAAGGAAAGTACCGAAAGGGAAAGACGTGAAATTTCCAAAGAATTGATGAAACTTAGGGTGTATCAAGGTAAAAATGTTACTGCATTGTTAGATACTTCAGTTGAATTTTTATCATCAGAATCTGAATCAAATAAAGATGATAAAGAACTTTCAGATGCATTAAAAGATTTAAGTTCCATTAAAGATTCAAGTAAGGATAAAATTGGGGAATTATTAGCTAAACAAGATTTGATTACAGAAAGTAAAACTTCTCGTGATCCATTTAATATAAACACCATTTTGAAACGTCATGGATCAACTCCAGAACCATATTTACTCACTGGTGTTATCATAAACAATACAGAATTTTTATTTTTAAAGAAACCACAAGATTTAATTGAATTAGAAAATCCTCAATGGGTTCATGTTATATATGATCCAACCACATGTAATGATTTAAAACATCAATATTCAAATTTTGAAACGATTAAAAGATCATTATATGGATTAACAAGAACACAATTTGCCTCATCAATTGTATTGATTTATGTTAAAGAATCAACATGGAATTCTAAAACTGATTATGAAAGATCAGAATCTGTTAAACAATTTATTCAAAAAGATATTGAAGAACTTGGTAAAAGTCTTGAACTATTGGTTCCAAGTTCAGGTGAAGAAAGTGATGATAATATTTCAGATTCAGATTCAGATTCAGATGTTGATGCTACACATGTTGAACATGTTGAGCTTGAACTAACACCAGAGGAAACAAATGATTTAGAAGGGTTAAGGTATTCGGATAGTGCTAATAGTGATGATATTTCCAAAGAGAATAAGGAGAATAAGGAGAATCTTCATAGTAATAATCCATTCAGAGATTAGTTATTTAGGAAGTTATGATATAAATGCAGTTTATTAGTTGAATTTTCTCACAATTTTGTTGTAGATTTTGTAAATTTGAGATGTGCTTATATAAAATTCCTTATCAATATTGCGCGGAGATTATTCATACTTGAATCTTTCACCGAGATTTAACCAGTACAAAAGTTACAACAACAACTTTACAACTTCAACAATCACACAATTCAAACCTCAAAGAGGGTACATTTATAATGAGTCCATATAATGTTGGTCTATTGATTGTATCAGACACAGCATTCCAGGATAATTCACAAGATCGTTCCACATCAAAAATTGAAGAATTTTTCAATAATCTTGAACAAAACCCAGGTTATAAAATAATTAAAAAAGATATAGTACCTGATTCAATTGAACAAATTCAATTAAAATTAAAACAATGGACTGAAAATGATGATTTAAAATTAATCTTAACCTCTGGTGGAACTGGGTTTAGTGATAAAGATATAACACCAGAAGCTGTTAAACCATTGTTAGAAAAAGAAGCAAGTGGGATTATACATACAATGTTATCATATTCTTTAAAAATTACACCTTTTGCAATGATGTCAAGACCTGTAGCAGGTATCAAGAATAAAAGTTTGATCATTACAATACCAGGTTCGCCAAAAGGTGCAGTGGAAAATATTGAAGGTATAATTGGTGTTTTAGGTCATGCTTTAAAACAAATTGGTAATGATAGTTCAAGAAGTTTACACAAGGTTGAAAATCCAGAGATTACTAAAATCCCTGATACACCAAAGACAGAAAGTCATAGTCATGGTCATGGTCATCACCACCATCATCATGGACATTCAGGACATTCAGGACATGGTGTTAAACGTCATATAATTTCAAATGATTTGAATAAACCAATAACTCAAAGAGCAAGATCATCACCATATCCAATGATTGAAGTTTCAGAAGCATTGGAATTAATAAACAAACATACTCCAAAATCAGAAATTATCATAAAACAAATCAATGATCCATCAATAACTGGTTATATCCTTGCTGAAGATATTTATGCAGATATTAATGTCCCAAATTTTGAAGCAAGTATAGTTGATGGTTATGCAGTTATTAATACAGATGGTCCTGGTATTTATAAAGTTGTTCAAGTTTCTCATGCATCACCTTCTTTACCAAATTTTTTAAAACCTGGGGAAATTGCAAGAGTTACCACTGGTGCTCCTATACCACAGGGGGCAAATGCTGTTATTATGGTTGAAGAAACAGAATTGGTTTCAACAAAGAATAATGGAGAAGAAGAAGATGAGATTAAGATATTAGCCAAGGGGGTTGAAGTTGGTGATAATGTTAGAAAATCTGGTTCTGATATTAGTAAAGGTGAATTAGTCTTGAGGAAAGGAACAATTATATCACCAGTTGGTGGAGAAATTGGTGTTTTAGCAAGTATTGGTAAGACCTCTGTTAAAGTTTATCAAAAACCAATAATTGGTGTACTTTCTACAGGTGATGAATTGGTTGATTTAAGTGCAAATTGTCCAAATTTCCAATTAAAACATGGTCAAATATTTGATACTAATAGACCATTATTATTACAAACTTTACAAAATTGGGGATTTGAAGTTGTTGATTTAGGTATAGCAAATGATTCTTCACAGGCAACAGAGGATAAGTTACACAAGGCGTTTAAAAATTTAAATGTTGATTATATAGTTACAACAGGTGGTGTTTCAATGGGAGAATTAGATTTATTAAAACCCACAATTGAACAAAAATTAGGTGGTATAATTCATTTTGGTAGAGTTGCAATGAAACCTGGTAAACCAACAACATTTGCTACAATTGATAAACCTGAAATATATAATGGGAAAAGAAAAATCATGTTTGCATTACCAGGAAATCCAGCATCTGCTAGCGTTACAGCTCATTTATTTTTATTACCTTCATTAAGGAAATTTTCAGGTTATATTAATATTAAATCATCTGAAAGTTTACCAACATTATCAGAAATCGATGTTTATTTAACAAAAGATACTAAATTAGATCCAAGACCTGAATATCAAAGAGCTTTTATTCATCAGCAGGGTGATCGTTTAGTAGCTGATACCACTGGATTCCAAAGAAGTAGTAGAGTTGGAAGTATTGCCGGTGCCAATGCTTTATTGGTATTACCTTCAAGTAAAGAAGTGAGTTCAGGGGTATTGACAAAGGGTACTAAAGTAAAGGCAATAATCATAACCACCTTGTGATCATATGTAAATATATAACCTGACTCTTTAAGTAAATGGAATTTGATCTAAATTTAAAGCAAATTAATATAATTTTAATATAATTTTAGTCCCTTTGACGTATAAAAATGCGACTGTATAGGTTGAGAAATCAGATTTAGTTCACCTGCATTTCCACAATTTGTACCTGAATAAGCGATCAGCAAATATACGCATTTGAGAATTAGCAGAGAAAGAACTCATTGAATCATTGAACACTGAACACTTGAGTATCTTCATAGACCTCATCTCATCGTTCTAAGCTTAGGTTGTTCAGGAGCTCTTCTCTGCCTAACCCCTGCCTAACCCCTTCCTTGTACCCTGTCCAGTGGCCTGCCCGGTGCCCGTCTAATTCCTGCCTGCTGTCTGCCTGTTCCAGATCATTTTTTAAAATTTCACTTGTAAATTAATTTTTTGCATCACCAAACACTGATTTGAAACTTTAATTACAAGTACTTTTAAAATAAATCTTTTATACCATTTGAATTAAAACATCTTCAAAAATTCTGACACCACATTCTCATAAAGCCTCATGGCAACCTTCTCCAACAAGTCCCTACCCAGACTCATCTCCAACCTTTACTTATCAAGCTCATCTTCATCCTACTACACTTCTTTGTGAAGGCTTAATTTCAAAATAGCAGCCACTTCAAATCCATCAAACCAACAACCTCTCTCATACCCCTTAGTGCTGCTTAATTTGGGTTTTTTCAGAGATCTTGATCTCTATTGAATTCATTATTCTATAGGCTGACTTGAAAAGTTATGCTAAAGTTTATCAAAATGCAAAGAGTATTCAAAAGAGTGTTGATCCCCTTTGTAATATTAGCTTATCTATTACTTACATTTTTCCAATTTCATACAAGGAATATTTTCAACACAACACCAATTAATTCAAATCAATCATATAAAACTGGAATATTTGATGATTTAAGAATATTAAAATGTTATAAATGGTATAAACAATGTAATCAAATTATGGAAGGTTATGATTCTGATGGCAATGAATTAATTTGGAACAGGGTGGAAAAAAATTTAGATATTTATGGTCAACCACCAAATTTTTGGTCAATATATACAGAATATCTTTATGTTCATATACCCAACAAGGGAAGATTTGGCTCTACAGGGAGAGCTATAGTAGATTTAGCACTTGGTGATCCAATGTCAAAAGATCCACCTTTTTATGTTGTTAATGATGCTCAAACAAGAATTACAAAACCAAAATCAAGATTAGATGCCACTTTCAATTATAAAAATTGGGAATTAAAATCTGATGGTATATGGGCCAAATATGATCGTGCAAATTCTGAAGATGTTTTAAATAATATTCAATATTTTTTTGGTAATAATGTTGTTGATCCAAGACAAGATTGGAAATTATTAAATGGGAAATTGAGATCAAGAGCTTATTTATCTATACATAGAGGTTCATTAAATTCTAAAGGTGAAATTAGAAGGCAAGTTCCAATATTAACCGAGATAAATAATGAATTCAAAATTATACAAATATCAGATTTACATTTCAATTCTAAATCAGGAGATTGTAAAGATCAATTCAATGAAAATGGTGCAATACCATGTAAAGCTGATTCAAAAACTTTAAATTTCATAAATGAAGTATTAGATATTGAAACTCCAGATTTTGCAATAATAACAGGTGATTTATTAGATGGGTTCCAAGTTCAAGATTATCAAACTGCCATTTTAAAAGCTTTGAATCCATTAATTAAAAGATCTATACCATTTGCTATAGCTTTTGGAGATAATGATGTTAATGAATTTGCCTCCAAATATGAAATTATTAAATTTATATCAGATTTACCAATGTCAATGATGGATGGAATTAATGAAAAACAACAACATCATAATTCAATAATTGGATTTGAAAATAATTATGCATTTAAAGTGTTTGATAGTCAAAATGAACATTTACAATCTGTTATTTATGTCTTGGATTTGTTCCAAGGTGATCAAGAAACAAATGAACAATCTAAATTTTTATATAATTTTTATAATGAATTACAAGATAAACCAAAATTTTCATTAGAATTCCAACATCAACCAATTCAAGAATATAGACCAAAATCAGCATTTGCGATTGTGGGGAAATATAATGAAAAGGGTAAATTAAACATTAATTCAGATTCTAATTTAAGGAAAACATTAAGTGATTTAAATGTTAATGCAATGTCTGTTGGATATGAACATACAAATGAATGTTGTATCCATGGTGAAGATAATGAAAATGGTAATAATCTGAACCCATTATGGATGTGTTATGGAGGTGCAACAGGTGAAGGTGGTTATGGTAATAAAGATATAAATTTTGAAAGAAGAGTTCGATTTTTCAGAATTAATTCAGAAAAAATGGAAATTACTTCATGGAAAAGGAAACAAACTGATCCACAATCAGTTTTTGATTATCAGTACATTTACAATTAATAGAAAAGGGGTTTATTTAGGGATATATACAATATTTTTTCAATTCTACATAGTTTATTTAGTTTATTAATATATTACATAATCTTTTGATGATCACATAATCATTACATAATCTGTCATTTTCTTAAATTTTGAAGCGCGCTTTTTTTTTATTTTAGAAAAATATAGTGAGGTTAATCAAAAAATTAAATGAATACCTTAAAATTTAACGTGAAAATTGATCAAATCTCATCAGAACGAACCATTGTTCAATTGTTAAGAAGCTCATAGCGTGCTGAAGGCTGAAAGCGCTCCATAGATTACACCTGCTCCACGATTCTTAGAGCCACAGCAAGATGAGTCAGCCAGGCGCTGGTCCAATAACTGATCAAGAATACAATGTAAGTATAGAGTTATTGAAGGTTTTTATTGGGTTTTATCAATGATAGGTCATAGTTATGGGATATTTACTAACATATGCTTTCTTAATAGAATATTCTAAATTATATCAACTCTTTGCGGCTTAGTGATTTGAAACTGGTAGCTAGAGCTCTTTCCGTTGCACAAGCTGGTAGGAAAGCTGATGTTTCTGATAGAATTAAAAGATATTTACAAATTGGTAAAGAAAGTGGTGATGTAAATAGAGTACGAGCCATTGGGAAAATAGTGGAAATTGCATTTAGACAAGAAAATGTACCAAATTATGAAACCGTTTATGGTTCATTAAATTTAATGAGTCCAAGATCATCTCAATCTAATTCAAATCAACAATTTAATACATCACAAGATTCACTACCCAGATCCCAAACTAATCCAAGGAAACCATGGTTATTTTTCAAAGAAAATCCATTTTTCGTTTTGAAAAAATTAGTTACTCCAAATGCTGGTGTTTGTTTAAAAGCTCCAAATTCAAGAGGTACAGGTCATGTATCATTTCAATTAAGTGAACAAGATTGTGAATTATTAAAACAATCTTCTAAATTTAAACTTTTTTTACTTTGTGGTGCTTATGATAAAAATAAACCTTCAACTGATACTGTGGTTGAATTCCCACAACCACTGGAAATTCATTTTAATGGAGTTCAAATAAAAGATAATGTTAAAGGATTGAAAAATAAACCAGGTACTGCAAGACCTGCTAATTTAACACCACATATTTCACCTCCAAAACATCAAAATTCACTGAATATGGTTTATGCTTTCACTAAGACTGATTATTTAATTTTTTGTTATTTAATTGAAGAAGTTTCACCTGATAAAATTTTACAAAAAATTCTATCAAATCCTCATATTGTTAAAGAGAAAACTTTAAAAGATTTCCAAAATGAAGGTGATGATGATGATATTCAAGAAGTTTCAACAAGATTATCATTAAAATGTCCATTATCATTCACAAGATTTAAATATCCAGCTAAATCAATCGCATGTAAACATGTTCCATGTTTTGATGCTTTATCATTTATTTATTTACAAGAACAAGCATCAACTTGGACTTGTCCAGTTTGTTCAATACCTGTAAAAGTTAAAGATATTGCAATAGATGATTATGTCATGGAGATTATGAAAAATACAAGTGAAGATGTTGAAACTGTTGAAATTGATTTAGATGGTTCTTGGAAACCAATTTATGAAGAAGATGAAGGTCCAAACCATAAAAAACAATCACAAGGTCCAGGATCAGCTTCACCAAATGATCATATTAAACAAGAATCTAAAAATGCTTCAAAAGCTCCAACTCCTGCTAATGAACCAGAAATTATTTCTCTAGATAGTGATGAAGATGAAGATGAACAACCAACACCAGTATCAGTTCCAACTCCAGGTCCTCAACATAGACCTGTACCAGAGGCACAGCCAGCTCCACAACCAGCTCCACAATCACAGGTTCCACCATCAACAACACCAAATAATATAAATAATAATCAAGCTCAACAACAACAAGGTGCACATCATAACGTTCAACAGCATCAACATCAACAACAACAACAACCTCATCAACAGCAAGCACCTCAACAGCACCACCAAGGAACACCGTCCCAAGGTCCTCAACTTCAGACATTTCAACATCATGTACCTCAACAACAACAACATCAACAGCCTCAACAACAGAGTCAATTATCTCATCAGAATGCTCAACAACAACATCAAGCTCCACGATCTCAAGCTCCTCAGCTTCAAACGTTTCAACATGCGGGACCTCAACAACCTCAACAGCAACATCAACAACAGCAAGTACCTCAACAACATCAAGTACCTCAGCATTCTCAACAGCCTTTTCGAGCTCAAGTAGGTGAAGCTCCTGCACAAGCTCAACATCAACATCAACAAACTCAACGTCCTGCGCAGACTGTTCAACCTGCTCAATCTACTCAACCTGGTGAATCTCAGCTTCAACATCAAAATAATATAACATCTAGAGTTATTCAGGCTCCTACAGGTAATTCTACACACCAGAATAATGTTGTCTCAAATAATAATAATAATGGGAACCAAAGCCCCAATAATCAATCCAATGCATCAAGGATATTACCACAACCACAATCAGATATTCAATCACAACAGTTACCACCATCAGTTCAACCTTCTGCTCAACAACGTCAATTTGATATACTGAGCCATTCACTTCCTCAAAATCAAGTTCCCTTATCACCTCAATCACCTTCTAATATTAATTCACCACAACAAGCCCCTGTACCATCAACTGTTTTTAGAGTTCAAAGTAATCCTCAACACACTCAACAGCAACACAATCCATTGATAAGAAAGGCACCACCTCAATCACCACCATTGCAAAATAACGCTGCTACTATAAATAATACTTCATTATCATCTCCATTAGCTCATAACACTGAAACTGCTCCAGCTCAATCAACTACACAATCGGGATCTCCAGGATCAAGTGGTCAAGCTTCAACCAATAATGTTAACTCTCCACTGAATCAAGCTCCACAAGTGAATAACAATGCTCAAATACAAAGGAATGGTGATAGTTCATCATCAGCAGCATCTCCATTGAACGCTCAAAATTCACCGGTTCAAACTACTACTTCAACTTCACCTCAAATTTCTGCACCTCGACAACCTACAAGACCACTGGACATTTATGAACAAGAAATGAAAGAACTTGAACAGTTGAAACAAAGAATCCATAGAGCTGGTAGAACTCCAATTTCAAGACCTAGTCCATCTTTACCACCAGCTTTACCACCTCATCAAAGATTTGATAGATTATCTACAAATCCTCAACCAGACCTGTTTAGACCTATTAATCCAATGCATACCCAACATGCTTATAATCAACAACGTGGAGGTCTGAGAGGTTACTTTCAAGGTCCTGCACCTTCATTATATGGAAATCAAGAATTCAATTATTTGATGAATACTGGCCCACAGAACCAACAGCGTGTTGATACACAAGGACAAAGTACTCATCAATTTAGTGTTAATCAAACTTCAAGAGCAACATATCCTTTACATGGTGCTCAACAGCAACCACAGCAACATCAACAACCGCAAGTCCATCAACAACCAAATCAACAGTCACAAAGACCTCAAATACCATCACCATTGAATGTTGCAGATGGAAGTAATGGTTCAACAGTTCAAAACCAAGCGGCTAGAAAGCTGCCAGATCTTGCACCTAAGGTTAACAATACACAAGGTATCAATCAAAGAAGAGTTTTGTCAAATCCAGATCATTCTTTAGGCCAAACTGCTCAACAATCATCTTTAAAAGCTAGTTTGGATGATTATCAACAGAAACATGGTTTGAATAGAGCTAATACTATTAATACTCCTCCAAATTACGGCCATCCAGGTGCTCTACAAAATGTTCAAAAACTGAGAGAAAATTTGAATAATAGACCAAGTGTTTCAAATTCAAATGGTCCAGTATCTAGACCTGAATCCAGAGTTCAAGCTCAAACCAATGAATCATCAAATCAAGTACAAAATTACCAATCTCATCAAACTGATGATTTAGCTAAGAAAGTTGACAGTGCACCAATCTCCACAAGTCAAAATCCAAGTTCAGAGCCTAAAACTCAACCTCAACAACAACCTCAACAACATAGTCTTCAATCTCAACCACAACCAGTTCAAGCTAACCAGCCTAATGAACAACCTCAACCAGCTCAATCATCTCAACCATCTGTACAACCTCAACAAAAAGATCAACAACAGCAACAACAATCAAACCCTCAGGAGACAAGGAAGTCACCACAAATTAGAAGTTTATTTGTTGACCCTGACGCTGAAAAGATAGAAAGCTCATCATCTGCTACAAAAGTTAATAGCGCTCCTTTACCTTCCGTTAATATACCAAGCTGGTCAAATAACAGTCTGTTAAGATCAAACAGTACAGCTTTCTCACCATCTAGATTTGCTCCACCACAAGACCAAGGTATTAACTCTACTGGTAATTCAAACCCAGCTTCATCAAATCCATCAAATAAATCAAGTCCTCATGTTGCAAATGCCACACCAACTTTATCTGGTAACCCAACTCCAACTCCACCACCTACAACCAGCGGGATTTTGGGTATAAGTGTTGATACCAACAGTCTATTTAAAAAGAAGGCTGATAATGTCATTAATAATCAATCAAATCAAATTTCAAAATCACGTACTATGCCTAATGTTTTCCTTCCATCAAAACGTCCAATGTCTGGAGAGAAGAGAAAAGTTTCAAATCAAAGTGCTCCAGAAAATGTTAAAAGGTCACAACAACAATCACCAACTATTCAAAAACCATCACAACAATTACCACCAGTACAAGGAACAACATTAAATAACCCATCAGCGCCTCAACCTAACATCGCACCAAACCCAACTTCATCTTTAGCACAATCACATGAACCTAAATATCCACAATTGGCAAGAGTGAATTCAACAGTAATTGATTTAACTAGTGATGGTGAAGATGACGATGATACACCTCTACTGAAAAGAAACAACTATCTAAATACTCCAGTGGTTGATGATGATGATATACCATTGCTGCGCAGAAATGATAGACCTCCAAATAGGCCCAATTAGTTACGAATTAATGTGAAATAATAAATATGTATTATAGATAATTTTTCATTTGTAGCCCAGGCTTAAATAGTATAGCGATTTAATTATATTGTACAAAATGTTTTGCAAATCATTATAAATAAATATGAATTAGAAAAAACATAACCTAAATAATATATATAAACTCATTACCATAACGTATCATTCCATTTTTGAAGTTCTAAAGATTGGGCAATAACATCTTTTTGTGCCTTTTTTCTCATATAAAAAATTGGACAATCTTTATTTGAACATAAAACATCTTGATGTAAAGAACCTTGACATCTTTGACAATTTGTCCATAATCTTGCAAATTTAACTTGTAGAGCATTCATTCCTGCTAAAGCTTCACTATATAATTTACCAGCTTTTGGTTTACAATTATCACATAAGGCACCATGATTATTTTTTGGTAATGGATTTTTACAACCTTTACAAGTTTCAACTTTTTTAACAAATCTCATTAATCCACCTGTTGTTGCTGATGCCATTGTAACTGTTCTTGTATGTGAACCCGTTAATAATTCTTTTGCCTTTTTTTCACCTAATATAGGTTCAAAAATTCTTGTTAAAGGATTTGCTAATTGATTTTCTAAATAATATTTTGAATCAATTGGTAAATTATGTTCTAAAACATATAATGGATCTTCAGATTTTTCATAACTTTTATTACCTGCAGTTTTTATAATAACATAAGCAACACGATCACCAATAGTTGGAGCTGAACCAGCATCTCTTTTTCTCATTCTATCAGCTAATTCCACATGAGGTTGTTTATTTGCATAATCAGATCTTGATAAAGCTTTTGTAATGACTAGTTGTTGCATATCAACACGATCTTGTAATAAATCAGCAATGGTTTGTTTAACAAAATTTTCAGCTGATTTAACATCTCTTTTCTCCAAGATAAGTTCAAGAATTTTAGTAATAACATTTGAAACTAAACGACAATTATCTCTTCTAACAGTTTCAATACCTTTTGTATCCATCTTGTCAAATTTTTCAGTATTTGTCCAATATAACCCAGCATATCTTTTTTTATTAATTAATAAATATGGGAAATAAACTTTTTCAAATTCTAATTTAATTGGATTTAAAAATTTAGTTGAAACAAAATCTGCAGCTTCTTCACCTAATTTCATACAAGTTTCTAAATCTTTATAACCAAATTTAACCATAACAGAATCAGTATCACCATAAATAACTTCAGAATCATAATCATAACCATTTGCAATGGTATATTTATCTTGAACTTCTTGTTTAGTTTTTTCAATCATACCTCTACCAAAAGCAGTAACTGATGAAGAAATAGCTAAACATGGTAATTTACCAATAGTAGCACCTGTAAACCCATAAACAGAATTTGCAGAAATTTTTAAAGCTAATTGTCTACCATTTAAAACATCTCTTTTAAAAGGATCAGTTTCAGTTTTCATATCTTTTTTGGCTTTTTTTCTTGCACTTAATAATTCTTCTAAAATTATTGGTAAAATTCCCTTTCTTTGTGAAGTTTTAACGAAAAAATCACCAGATGGAGAAACAGTATAATCTTTATCTTTTTCTAATTTTAGTCTTTCAATAGTTGGTTTATTCAATAATGTTGTATAACATAAATTATGTGCCATCATAATACTTGGATATAAAGAACTGAAATCTAAAGTTGCAATTGGGACATCATAATAACCTCTATGAGGTTCAATAACAGTGGCACCTTCATATTGAACATCAGAAGATCCACCTTGTTGTAAATTTGGAACAACAAGATCAATTTCTAAACATTTTCTAAATAATTGAGAAATAACTTTAATTTGTTGACCTCTTGTTAATAAGAAAGAGAATGGAACACCAGTAACTCTTGCCATTTCAGTATAATTAACAAGACACATTAATTTTTCTAATAATCTCATTGGTAAATAAGCATCTTTTAAACAATAAACAGCTAATCTTCTTCTTGTTTCACTATTACCGTTTTGTAAATCTGTAATAATTGAATGTTGAACTTCTTCTTTTTGTTCATTTAAAAAATGTGCAGAAACTGAATTTAATGTATAAGATCTTAATTTATATTCTCTTTGGATGAATTGTAATAAGTCTAATTGCATTCTACCATCAATATTTATAGATTTTGATTCTCTTGTACCATAAGCTTTTGAACTGAAAACAGAATCTTTTGCCTCTTGTTTGATATTTATTAATCTACCAAAATATGGGAAATCTCTTAACCCAAGAGCCTTAGCACGATCCAATAAATATGGTAAATCAAAATTTGTGGTATTATAACCAATAATAACATCAGGATCAACTTTATTAACAAAATCTTTCCATTCTAATAACATATCTCTTTCATCTTCATGTGCAAAGATTTCAGAACCTGTGATTGGAGAACATGAATTAACAGTGAAAACATTACGAACAAAAGGTCTTGATTCACCTGATCTTGATACAACATTTGCAATTTGAATGATTGAATCATGTTCAGCTTCAGGAAAAATCCCCTTTCTACCAGCACATTCAATATCAAATGATAAAATACGTAAAGGAGCCATTTTAAGCCATTCACCTTCTGGAGGATGTGAAATTAAACTTTTATAATCAATGTTGACTTCTAATTGACATCTTGAAGTTTTCAAACCAGTTTCCACTGGGGTATATGTTCCTTTTGGTAATGTAATCCAACTCATACCGGTAATTTTACAATCAATCATTAATCTTAATAAATATTGAATATTATCATAAGTCATTGTCCCATCACCATTTGAATTAAACATCCCATTCCATGAAACCATACCTTTTTCAAAACCAGATCTAATTTTGGGTATATCTTTAGCATTTACACCAATAATTTTCAAAAAGCAAACTTTTTGATTCCCATTAAAACCCCAAATAGATTCTTTAAAACATAATTCTATATCCAATACACCTTCAAAACTTTGCTGTAAATAATTTTTAAAACTTAATAAATGTTCTTTTCTAAAATTTAATGGTGCAGGTACATAAAAATAATGTAAAAATCCAGTAACATTACAAAGAACTGAATAACCTTCTTGAGTAACACCAAAGAATCTTACAGCTGATGAACCTTCAGTTAAAGCTTCTTCAGCATCTAATTGTTGGAATGTGATATCATGGGTTTCAGGTTTCCAATCCACAGGTAAAGTTGGTCTTTCCCATATTTGATCTTCAGCAGTTTGATTTTTAATATTTATATCATTACTCATTGAAAGTAATTCTTTTTCAAATTTAGAAGGTTCCACTTGAGCCATAGCATTCTTAGCTTTGAAACTTTGTGATTGATGAATATGTTGATCATCTTGACTTGATTGTAAGGCAACAGGTAAAGAATGAGCTTCATGATGTAAATTTTCAATTGTTCCTTGTGGTGTTGAATCTGATCCAGCAATTACTTTTGCCTTCTTGTGAGGATCAGCAGAGTTCTCTATTTCCACAAGTGTTCTTTTAGTATTAGCACCAGACATTATTTCCACTGTGTATGATAGCAAATAATAGATGTGATCTTTTGATTAATTAAAGGATAATGTCTATGAGTATTTAATAAATTCACGTTTAAAATTTTGGTAAAAATACGCGTCTTTTTTAATATTTTTTTTTTTAATTTTAAATTTCGCGCGTTTTCATTTTTATATAGATTATGTAATCCCAGTAGTTAATAGTGACACATAGATTCTGTCATATATAAGCAAGATTTGAGTACAAAATAACAAAAGTAAAGATTGCTCAGACGAGCAATATCATGATTTTGTATAATAGAATACACACTTCGATAAATATTCTGTCAAAATATCTTGACTTGGTGCTATTTAAATACAAAATTCACATAGCCATGGACAATAGCACCATGGTGTAAGGTGTATGTATACTCATGAACTTGAATTGAATTAAATGCTAGAACTTTACTTATATTGAGTACCAACGTACATTCGGCATTTTCTAGCTATATCATTTAGTTCATAGTTACAAATGATTGATGATTAAGTTAAGTTATCAATAGCATCTATTATAAGTGTTATGCCAAACGGCCTTAAAAACATTGGTCAAAGTATGTCAAAACTCATATATGAAACAAATTGACTTTCATACCAAGACGTTTAAAGATTCAAAGATCTTAATTGTATATGTCCCTTAATGTCCAGTGCCTGCTAGGCTAAACATATAATATCAGAAATGGCAATATATTGTATTAAAGATCTTGTCCGCATGCCAAAATTCTTAGGACCTGTTTAAGCTTAAATGATCTTATAAAATTATTTGGATTAAATGGGCATATCTCTGCTTGAATCGACGTTATTATTTAAATACTGCCCACTTTATATAACTAATTGTTATAATGGGTTATGGTCGACTATTACCCAAATCATCACAAGATCTCGCCATCTCGCCTTATAAGCATGAACGTCAAACGTTAAACGTCATTAACCAACTAGATCTCTTCATTGATCTTTTTAGTTCCATCAGCCACTAAGTAATTCTGTATAAGCCTGCTTTATCAAGTAGATATCTGTAATGATTAAACAAGTTTTGCAACTCCGTTAAAATATATTATGCTCAATAATTTACTTTCTTTAGAAACCCAGTCCGCTTGCCTGCGGTCCTGTACAAGGGCTTGTTACGAGGGTGTAATTTAAATTAATCGTCTTTTGGAGACCGGAAAATTGTAATAATAAACGACAACTCTAGTAGACAACGATAGCTTGTACGATGAACCACCCAGTGCTCAACGAGCTAGAGCTTCACCAGCCTAAACCCTGAGATCTCGAGCCCAAGCCCATTGCCCATGTGGTTCATGTCCGCTGTTTCGTTTTTTCAATCACCGAGATACCTCAATATCAACAGAACCCTGCAGAGAAGAGGAAAAGAACTTCACGAGACTTATACGTGAGAATTAAGCTTACAAAGACTCAGCCAAGAACTTGGAAAGCTAAACACAACTTAACACACCCGTATAATCACATCTTATTGGTTACAACAAGTTATAAGTTGTGTTTTTAAGTGTGTTTTAGTGCATTGTGAAAAGAAAAGAAAAGATTAGAGACCTTGAAATTTCACACAATTTTTGAAGAAAGTACACTGTACTACGTATAATTTAACCAGGTGGATGAAGGAATGCATATTGATTAATCGCATTCGATGAACTAATCTGAAGCTGCTTGTTGAGATTGAAGATCTCTATATAATGATGTGAAAATCCTAGATTTTTTTGAATCGTATCTTTAGGATCTTATCAATCTCATCAATATCAATTTATTATAAGTTATAATGTCTTCACAAGACAAAGACACTGTTTTACAAACAGTCAGTCAATCACAAGAAACCTTGAATAAATCATCAATATCAATAAATAAAACTAATTCTTCAAACAGCTCTGAAGTTCCTCAAGATATCACC